AAGAGTACCATAGTCCACAGTCTGGATGATTGTCGACATAGTTACAAAAATAATCGACTGCACGCCTTGATCCCATAGCTCTAGTGCATCCAATGTCCAGGATTGCAATAGTTGGCGGGAAGCGATTTTCAGTCAAAAATGCAATAGCCTGCATCTCTTTCACTTCTTCCTCAGCGCTCATAAGCGCAAAGCCATCAGGAGCATCTGTGAGCATCTCCTCTGACAAAGAGTACCTCACAGGGGCACTCATGCCATCGAAGATCGTCTCACCATTGTTGACATTACAGTCAGCTTCATCTTGACATGAGGTCATCATGCCTGACAGCAAGTCCACCTCACTGTCATGGACTTCAGCTACCGTTGTCACACAATGCGCAAAGAAACCTTGGTTGCTTCCTGATGCTTGTGAAGTTCTTGAAGGTGCAGGTAAAGAACGTGGCTGTTGTTGATTTGCATAGTTTGCATCTTGTTTGCCATCTCCTTTATCTTTTCCTTTTCCTTTCTTGCCTTTTCCCTTTCCTTTGTGGGAAAACCATGCTTCTTCAAGTTGTTGCCAAAAGTCATTGGCATCTTCATGTTCTCCTTGAAGATAGTCATTCATATCTTCGGCAATGATAGCATCATATGCTACTTGATTTGACTCCCAAGTGTCCTCATAAGGATTCTCTTCATAATACTCTTCTGGATAAGTTGTCGATTGCTCATCAGCATAATGGCCTTTACCTCGTCTCTTTCCTTTTCCTTTTCCTCGAGGTCTGAAAAATCTGCGGCCTGATCTTCCTTTTCGTTTTCCTTTTCTTCTTCCTTTTCCCTTGCCTTTTCTGGCTCTTCTTCCTTGGAATCTCCTCTGGAACCAAGAGAAATTCTGTTCATCATATACCCAAAAGACATCGTCCAGGGCATCTAGGAATCCTTCTGTTCCATCTTCTTCATCTTCGGCCCAATAGCCATATGTACCATCGAGTTCTCCTTCGTCTAGTACGAGAAATGATCTTCTACCTCCAGCACCTGTTGGCTGCATAAGAGGATTGTCTACTGAAGTCTTTGTTGTGCAGAACATCTCAATGAAAACTGTCCTCAACTCTGTTGTGGTGTATTGCTGCAGGACTCTACCACGATGAGTCATCAAAGAAGTCAAAGTGTTTCGCTGGTCCTGAGACAAATCTGCAAGTGACAGCATGAGTAAGGCAATCAGATTTTCTCCCAAAGGAAAATCATTCTGATGAAAAGTTCTCATATTGCCATTGATGGTCTGCATGATTTCCTGAATCCTTTCTGCCGTTGGAGCTACTCCAGTCAACGCTGCATCAGCCTGCATCTGAGCTAGGACCTGAGGATGTGCTTGTGTGACTGGCTCTAACATGTCCATCCAACTGCTCATAAGCCTTTGGAGTAAAATCTGGAATCTTGTCATCCATTTCATCATGTCAGCTGATCCTCGATTGAAGCGCGCGAATTGCATGAACCTATACAGGAATACATTGGTGGATCCTTTCACAAAATATGGTCGTAGTACTCTCTTGAAGTAATCTACTCCAGCTCCTGGTGGCTCATTAGCCTTCAATGCATCTCTGTCTAAAACTCGCTTGTATACAGCTGCTTCTCCTTCTAGTCGGTTTCTCAATGCTGGTCCTCTCTTCTCATCCTCCAGCTCTGTGATATCACACCAATCGTCTATGGCATCCTCATAGGAAAACCATGAAGTCTTTCCATCATAAGATGGGGGCACCTTTGTAGTGACCTGTGTTGTCATTGCTATAGCTGCTGGTTCTCTTCTCACATGCCTATTCACGTAGGCTGCTGGCTCAAAAGCCACATCCGCATCAGGCTCTTCCCAGTCGTCAATCCAATCCATGGCCGTTTGCCCACAAGCAATTCTATGCCTAGGAAAGGAGCTCACCTGGGTCTTCCAGGATCACTGCTCCGCTACCACTGAAAGAGTGACTAGGGCGTACACGGTAGAGGTGCAGACCGCTAGTGTCTTTTGCTCACGCAGAGTCTTATCCTATATCCCTTGAGCCTTATGGCAGTCAAGCATGGACACACTAGATAGGCCACTGGAGTGGAACCTGTACAAGTAGGCCTCTACATTTCAGGGGGGGGGCTTCGACCTGAAAGATCAGGGGATAGGATTTGCGCCCAATCGAAAGAAACCTTGCTATCGCAAGAGTAACTCCAGCTAGCTTCGCTAGTTAGTGATGTCTCCCACGAGGCCAGATGTCTGCCGCTTCATGGGCGCCACCAGCCTTCATATGCTTACAATTGCGGTTGCCGCCACCGAAGCTGCCTCCGATGCATCTGTAGGGCCTGCCTCGGCTGCCGGCAATGAACCGTGTCCCAACTCCCCAACAGGGCACTCCCACCCCACTCCTCATAGCCTTCCAGTCCTTCTTTGGCTTCGCTTTTCCCTTTTTTGCTTTGCCTTTCCCGCCATCTTCTTTGTCGCCCTTGCCTCCTTTGCCCTTGCTCCAGTCTCGCCAGGTCCCCACCTGCTGAGCTTTGACCTCGGCATGCTCCGCTGCTGCTCCTGCTTCTCGCTCAGCAACAGGCCCCCTACGGCTGGATCCCAATCCAGGGCCCTCTCACCCCGCAAATCCTCCTCAGCTGGTAGGGCAGCGGGCGCTCGTGTGTTTTTGTGGGGCTCCAATTCTGTGTTCTCATGCCCCACTATTCTCCTCTCTCCGACCTGGCTGGTCTTCACATCTTCGGCGCCATCTTCCTTTGCCGTGACCCTTATTATTGCGCCCTTTGCTGGCGTAACCCAAGGCCTGGCCTCATATGACGTGCTTGATGCCCTTCCACTTCTTGCCACCTTCGCGATGCCTCTGTCGATATCCAGGCGGTGACCTTGATGGGGTTCGAGGTCTCCTCGGCAAAGGTTTCCTTGCAGATGGCTTTGGTGTCTTCCGGAGGCCGGCGCGCTCCGGATTTCTTGCAACTTCCTCGTTTGGGCTGACTTCTTCGTGATGATCTCCCGCTTCTCGTACGTCCTCTTCGTCCTCCTCTGGCTCTAATCCTTCCTCGTCCTCCGGCTCTTCGGCACTAGCTTCAGTCGCCCCGCCTAGGTTTCTTGTCCTTCTTTCTGCTTCGGCTCCTTGACTTCTCCTCACGTCGCCTCCTTCGATGTCTCGACCTTTGGCGTGTCCTTGATGCCTCACTTGTAGCTGCTGATGCCTCAGGGTTTTCCTTCCCCTTGTGGCCCCCGCTTCGAAGTTGTCGCTCTGGCGGACTGTAGCTTCCTCAGTTACCTTGACAGGTTTGCCAGATCTGTCCACCTGACCAGCAGTTTTCGCGGCCTCGAATTTCTCACACTCGGTCTCGATGTTGTGGACAACGCCCTGCAAATATTTCACCAGGGACCCAGCCCCGTGCGGTGCGCACCTGGTAAATACCAAACGCTCGATGCGCACAGTCAGGTAGCAGGGATCACAAAAGCCTGAAGTCCCCGTCCGAAGGCCCAGCCTGGAATTACAGCCCTTGCACGCGGGCTGCGTCCGCACTAGAGCCAAACACTACGGAACCATCAAAGGATGAAACATGTCTTTATCCCCGGGGGCGGGGCACGATATTATACATCATTGCCTATACCTATGCCGCATGCCTATACTTATACTTATCTTCACTGTATATATATATATATACATACACACATCATGTATAATGCATGTGCCAAGTTGCTTTCAAAGGCTTGCTTTCGCGGCTCAAAAGTTGGTAGGCTGCGCAGGGCGCTTTCGCGAGCTTTCGCGGAACAAGAAGCTTCGCACATTTGCTTTCGCGCAAAGTTAACAAGTTCCACTTTTGCATGTGTCCTTTCAACAAAACAACACATACGTTGCTCATGTGAGGTTTTGGTCGCTGTTCAGCTGTTGTGTTTGCCTCTGCTTGCTTCTACCTTTGCCAAACTGCTCAACGAGCAATTTAATGCTTGTGATCGTGAACCCCCGCCCGATAGTGTAGATATTATCAAGCAACGCGTACAGTCGACATCAGGGGGATATGCGCACGCCTGAATATTCTAGTAACTCATCCACACATGGCAGCATGTGTGAAGGAGATACGTCGTTCTAGCGATCAGTTTTTAAAGCGACACTCAGCTGACTTGCAAGCACTCCGAAAATTGCGTGCGCAGCTGCTCTTTTTGAGTGTATCGCAGCTGTGCTCAACGCTGGTAGCACAAATAATAAGTTCGCGCACAAACAGGCGCAGTAAACGGCCCATGGCAAACACTTCCCTTTGTGAAACCCTGGTTTCAGCGCGCGGCCTTGATGGACATCATGAAGTTGAAGACCAAGAAAAGAAATGACGCAGATGTCACCTCCCAGCTTTCAAAACAGGAAAGCGCAAAGCAATCTTTTGCGCGCACCCAAATCCAAGGCATGGACCATTCCATGAACAAATATTAGGAACAAAGCCATCTCCTTGCACATGCTGCGCTACAAGCGGCTGAAGAAGCTGAGGTTTCGCAGGGTAGTTGAGCCACTGGCAACTTTCGGGTAAAAGGGCCACAGTGTTATAAGAAGTGGCACTTGCAGCCTCAAGAAGCGGGCCATGCACGGACCGCATCAAACACTTCTTGTCTACTGCGCGCGCATGGCTGCACCTAGACTGGAGGAAGGCACCTGCTTAAGCTCTTTTGACATTTAGGTATTCCGAGCTGTGATCCGGATGATCAGGCCGGTCACCTGCACCTCTCGCGCAATTCTCAATCCAAATCTTTGGTCGCGATTCGGAAGCCAACAGTTGGCTTAGCCGCATGTGAAGCCCTTTGTCGCTTTGAATGGACGCACCCTCAAGGTTCTCACCTCACAACTGCGCTGGCCTTCGCCATTGACTTACTCTACATACTAAAGAAAGGCACCCGCCTGTGTCTATGCACCTTATATAGATAATTAAATGGCAAAGGTTGCGAAGCGCTGCCATTCCACTGTCAGAGCAAACTGGCCAGCAAGGGCCTTTGCGGTGCTTTGTTAACGGCAGCATGCTTTCCCGGCATTTCCGGGCTCGTCAACATTGTCACCTTACTCAGCCTTGCAGTGTGACGCCCAAGCCTGCCCTACGCACCGCTGGGAGGCTGCACTTAGACTTACCTACGCCAGCAGCCAGTCCAGAAGGTGCACCAAAAACTGAAGATCATACCTAGCTTAACCATACCAGGACTGATTCTTTCGCTTTCGTGACAAATCACTGACCGAACGAACACTGAGCACATTGAAAGGCTTCAATATTCATAGATCCATGTCCAAACGAGTGCTCGACATCAGGCACAATGCCATCACCTTCCTGGGCTCCAAATATCCTTGGTGATCAATACTCCCCTGAGACACCAAAAAAGCTTGACGAAGCTTGTAGGTTTGAGTTGAAACATGTTGAAACTGTTTCTCACTGAAGTGATTTTTTCTGTGCATTCTAGGGCGTGCACGGCTCAGTGCGGCCCACAATGGTGCCGAGATTGCAAAGGCCAATGCGTTGAAGCCAAAAAGTACCATGTTGAGGATCTCAGGGATCCGCCAGCTTATGAAATCTTGTGAAATCAACAAAGTAAAAAACAGTAACTCCGTAAAGGGTGTGTTTCACACCGTGTGTCGCTGTAAAACTCTGGCAATGGCAGGAGGATCAATTTGTGTGCCGAGAAGTCGCTGTGCCTCTGAAGGACTCACAATGCTCGGGCTCAAAGCACATGTATTTATTTTGTGCTTTCCAAAACAACGTAAAAAACAATTAATCTTAGAAAACAAATACTGTAATAATATACAAATACTATGTAATACAGTAGGCCAACAAAAAAACGATGTGAACAATTGTGAGGAATGTGTCTTGTTTGTCCGTGGGGTTGTCTGTCTTGGGTCCAGGCATAGCGCGGAACACTTTCACCCCCTCTCAAGCCCCACCTCGAACTGTGAGGCGGAAACAACGCTGACACGACTAGTAATTACTGCAATTACCTTTGTCTTTCGGCTGGGGCAAAGGCTCGGTAGCTGTAACGAAAGTCAAAAACTCTGCAACGGGCGATGCCACATAGCCCAAAGCAACCACAATGTGAATTCTTTGGACACCTCGTCTCAGTCGCCATCGAACTTCCCGAGTCGAACTTGGCTGATCCATCTGCATGTCTTTCCCTTTCTGAAGTCTAGGCCACACGTTCGCATCAGCAGCCAACGCGATGTTGAGCCTCGGGTTGAAGCGACAACGTATCTGGAAGTTTGGCTTTCACGCGCTTGGTGGCTGGCTTCCTTCGCGCTCAAAGTCGACATCTTCACCGACACTGACCAGGATCTAGCGCCAGCTGAATCAAAGCAGGTGGGATCCAAGAACCAACAGGGATGGTCGAGCGAGTCGAGCATGTCACACATTTTGGACATTCGCAGCGTACGGGCAATTTGTGTTCGGTCGACCGTACACTAAATGATCTAAATGACACCAGCCGGCCACCTGTTTGCAAAGGTCATGCCCTTGAGGAAATTGGGCCACAAACTAAAGACATATGTGCTTGCAGCCAGCAACGTCGCTCTGTTTGCAACCCTTTGCTTGCAGACTTTGAAAAACCAATTTTGTTCAACAAAAAAACCAATTGCACGGAATTGCCGTCTCCTACCCTATCAGCCCAGAAAGTCAAGCCGGCGCAAAAGAGTGAAACGTATCATGTTGAGGGCCGCCGGCTGTAACACAATCTGAGTTCCGTTGGCCAGTGGTCGTTTGAAACATATATAATACCTGAGAAGGGGGGACGAAAGCCAGCAGCCGCCAGACGAGTGTCTCTTTTTCTGGCGGGCGTCGCGGCACAAGACACATGGTCGGCAGCTTGCGAGGCAGCGGTGCCGCGGATGCGGGGGGCGTATGAATGGTGATTGAGGGAGCAGAGAAGCAAGCCGGGCGGCTTTGGGATAGGTTTTGGTATGAAAGAAGTAGTGAAAGAGAAATGCGATACGCTGTATGTTGGTGTAGGTCATCATCACTCACAAGGCAATGGCATGTGTTTGTCACACGCAGGAAGGCATGCGTCTTATGGAAGTTGGAAGGCGACATCAGCGTTAGTGAAGGGGAAATTCCGTCTGAGTTCGAGTGATGGGATACCACGCGCTGGAAGACCTTCTCTATAGTGAGCGTCGCCGCGCGCGCGTGGCATGCGTTTGAGAAGAAGCAATTAATTATGTGTTTGTTACATTTGGAGTGTTTGAAGTTTGCAATGCATACTGCGGCGCGTCAAGAAGCGGCCTTCGTTGATTTGGAAGAGTGAACGGGCACGTCTTAGCCGGGACACGGACGTTTGATCCCGCGGCACAGAAGATCGCAGAAGGGAGGCCCAGCCAGCAGAAGTAGCTTGGGCTAGCCAAGGAGTGAGGATTTGCGCGCCTATCGATGCACATGCCTGGACTTGAGTGAGTCATGTTCTGGCTCAATCCAAAACACGGTCTTTTTCCTTTAAAGGGGCTTTTTTAAACGATCCAAACACCATCTTTATTCTTCTCTTTCTTATCAACTCTGCGTCTTTCTCACTCAGAGGCCTTGACTTTGGCACCTGCGCGTGTAGATCTTTGGGCCGTGGACCCAGGCTGACTGGATTCGGCCAGGGCTGCCAGCAAAAGGCAACGTCATGAGTCAGTAGTATATAGAATTTATCTATATATTATCTATCTATCTATCTGTCTATCTATCTACCTATCTATCTATCTATCTATCTCTCTCTCTCTCTCTATCTCTATCTACCTACCTATCTATGTATGTATGTATCTATCTTTCTTTCTATCTGCACCGGCAAGCCGCAAAAACGTTCGGTGCGTGTGGACGCCGCGAGAAGCATCCACTCGACCGAGGACATGGTGCAAGTATAGTTTTTGCTAGGGGACAGGAGCCCTATGCGGATATGTAGTCAACCTCGCAGGCATCCCCGCCGAAACTCAATCCAAATTCATGGACTTGAACTCATGTCACTTTCGGTTCTCTATGAATTTCGCGAGTTGCGGGTTGTCCTGAAAACTCGTATCCTACGCGCGGCTCCGGTCTGTGGTCTGCTCTGTACATGGGTCCCTGTTTCCACACCAGTGCTCAATGCCCATTGTCCAAATAGCCTCCACAGCCTTTCATGATGCACTGCTCGGCGTCCATTGCATCGCTCGCATCACCAGACCCCATTTTCACTGCTTTTCTGCCCCTGCTTTGGAGCGCTCTCCCCCACCAAGCTCCGGGTTCACCCTCTCAAATTGCACCTTTTAGCACCCCTCCCCGCCACACCCCCTTAACTCACTTCGTTCGCTCTAGAAGCTCAAGCCTAGCCTATCGGCTGGCTTTCGTAATAATGTACTGTTTCGGGTGTGGACCAAAAACATATCACTATAACATCTAGGGCGCCTAGAACTACTCCATGTAACAAGAGAATCAAACACGCCGTGAGCTGATGTGTTTTTAAGTCAATTACTGAGTCAGTTGGTTGAACCTGAAATGAACCTGAAAAGGTGATCCATTCAGCGTGCCTCGTCTATACCCCAAGAGTCGTGTAGCTGCACTTTCTTCTTGATTCGCTCTGCCAGCTCGGCTTCATCCAGTTCCTTCACCCGAGCCCGGAGCACAGCTGAAACCTAGCATCCTTACATATGAAAGACGAATAATACATGTTTAAAGAAACAGCCCGCGCCAAAGGTGCTGAGGCGTTTAAACATTCAATCTATATAGGTTGGCACCGTTTAGCAAATAACAAAGCTTCAGCGAACAAAGGATTACATTTCATTCTGGAGTTTTGTCTTTTGACATTTTTTGGAAAACCTGGGAATTAGCATAAAGTCAACATAGGCCAGGTTGAACACTTTTGATTAGCTGATTCGTCATGTCTGGCATCATGGTTGCCTTTGGGAGTTTCAATCAAGTGCGCTTCGCGGCATTCTGCATTCTGTGATGGTATATGGTTGGTTGATCGCATAGACGTATTTGTATGTATTTGTGGTATTGCATGCCACACTCGTGAGAAAGTGGATGGGGCGGAAAACATCGAGTTTTTTACATGTAGTTCCAGGGCGAGCAGAAAATGAAACTGGCGTCCACTGGGGTTGCCAGCCTTGGCCATGCAAAAATGGTTGCTTTGACACATGATAGGATGGAGGAAGCAAACCTGCAGCGTCAGTCTGGCGGTGGGTAGCCTCAGGTTTGCAGTTACATTGGCTGAGGCCACTCACTCCCTCCATGCCCACCTTATGACATAGTTCACTGCCTGAAAATTCATCAAAATACATTCAGCCGGCGGCTCACCACCTAAACGGGCCTAATCCAACTCAATGCTATTCGGGCCCGTTTCAACTCAACTCAAAACTCACAGCTTCGAAAAATCAGCGCTCAATTATAGGACCGCCCCACATGCTAACAACTTCCCAGACACAGAAGCGGACAATTGGTGGTTGGCAAGTGGTTGGTGGCAGTTGGTTGGCGGCAATTGCTTGGCGACAATCGGTTGGTGGCAACTTGGTTGGTGACAGTTGGTTGGTGACAATTGGTTGGTGGCAATTGGTTGGTGGCAGTTGGTTGGTGGCAATTGGTCGGTGACAACTGGTTGGTGGTAATTGGTGGGTGGCAAGTGGTTGGTGGCAGTTGGTTGGTGGCAAGCGGCGGAGACCCAGCGACGCCAGGGCGTACATCCGACCCCCTGGCGCGCCAAGTGCTACGCCTGCCACGCAAGTCACAGCGACAAAGCGGCGGCGACCAGGCCGGCGTACACATCCGACCCCTTGGAGAGCATGAAGTGCTGCGACTGCCACGCAAATCACACCGGCAGAGCGGCGGCGACCCACGGAGGCCAGGGTGTACATCCGAACCTTTGGAGAGCACGCAGTGCTGCGCCTGCCACGCAAATCACATTGGCAGAGGGGCGGCGACCCACGGACGCCAGGGCGTACATCCGACCCCCTGGAGAGAAGCGCTGCGCCTGTTTGTGGGAATCGGTTGGTGGCACTTGGTAGGTGACAATTGGTTGATGACAACTGGTTGACGACAATTGCTCGGTGACAATTGGTTGGTAGCAATTGGTGGGCGACAATTGCTTGGTAGCAATTGGTTGGTGACAATTGGCGGGACGCAATTGGTTGGTGACAATTGGTGGGACGCAATTGGTTGGTGACAATTGGTTGGCGTCAATTGGTTGATGACAATTGGTTGGTTGCAATTGGTCGATGACAAATGGTTGATGACAATTGGTTGATGACAATTGCTTGGCGCCAGTTGGTTGATGACAAGTGGTTGATGACAATTGGTTGTCGCAAATTGGTTGATGACAATTGGTTGGTTGCAATTGGTTGATGACAATTGGTTGATGACAATTGGTTGGCGACAGTTGGTCGGTATAGGTGGATGACAATCGGTTGATGACAACTGGTTGATGACAAGTGGTTGGTGACAGTTGGTTGGTAGCAATTGGTGGGTGGCAGTTTGTTGGTGGCAGTTTCTTGCTGACAATTGGTCGGTGACAATTGGTGGGTGGCAATTGCATGGTGGGTGGCAACTGGTTGATGACAATTGGTTGGTGACAATTGGTTGGGGATGAGGAGGAGGAGGAGGAGAAGGAGCGGATCCAACACTAAAAACAAAACCCCACACGTCAATGCGGGGAATAATTTTAGTTATATAACTCGAATACCACCTTCATATATGAGCTTCTGCAACACTGCAACGCTCCCCCAACTCCAAAAGCACTTGAAGTATTTTGAAGTATCTTGAAGTAGAGCAAACTAGAGACGAACCAAACCAACGAAGGCTTTATGACCCGACACCCTGGATTGACAGGTGTAGTGCGGGCGCAGCCCGCTAGGCCGGAAGAGCTAAGGGAAGGATTTCATTTTCAGCTAAAGAACGCAAAATTTGTGCTACGAAACACGAGGAACAAGGAGCTGAACATCAGCATACATCAACCAGGTTTCAGAAAACGTCATTTGACGACACTGCGTGGTCAGTCCTGCGTCAAGAACTCTGGCCCTCCTGCGGAGACGCTGAAGCTTCTGTTTGGAGCTTCCCCCTGGTGCCCGACTGCCAAATCCACCTGGCAGCTTGTTGCTCCGTTGGCACTTGGGGGGATTGGCCCGCGCAACATTTGGTATCATGAGAACAACACTTGCTCAGGTTCTCACGAGCGAAACAGGAGCTGTTTCCCCTGACAGGGACAACGCGAACCAAATTCAACTTCATAGGAGTCTGTGGTGAAATGATGTGTGGCGTGATGGGCTTCTACAGTTGTTAGAGGAATGCACTGTCGCCAGACTGTATAAATTGGAATTGAACCTTCACTTAGTGGAACAAAAAGCCACACACGCAACCACAGTGCAAATAAACCCACACCACAAGTAAGTTTGTGGATATAGGTGGGTGTCCACAAACATGCCAGTCAAACACCTTGCGCAAAACATCCTCAGGCAAGCCCGACGAAAAAATACAAACTCAGGCAAGTTCTGCGCCTGCAGGTTGCTCACCTCACGACGCATCCATTCCGGGTGGCAAAAAACTGGAACTTGGATCATCTCTCGCCAAAAATGGACCTCAATTTTTCTCTTGAACTTTGAAGGCTGTGGTTTGTGTGTACACGTGAAGCCTTGGACCCCCCTGAGGGCAATGGCCAGGGCCTTTTGCCCTACTAGCTTACCAACCCCGCATCAAGCCTTCGGCTCGATTCCAGCGGCTGAACACTCAAGGCATATCTTTCCACTGTTTGATTTGGCGCCCTTTAGGCACTTGCTTTGCGCTGCGCAGTCATCACTGTGAACCACTGCTCCGCATGATGCTGTCCAGCATGTCATGGGTTCATCCGCGTTTTCCATCCAATGGGCCAATGGGTACATCTGCCGCGCGCGATCCGTTGTGATCAGCTACACTCCCTGCCTGACGCAAGTCCAGCTTCTCGACCTTGCTCCTCTCCTCTCCTCAGCTTGCATCTTGTTCTGCCTCCTCTGACGTTGCCTCTTCTCACTCTCATTCGTCTCTCTCGGCATGGCTCCTCTGAGGACGCGATGACATGAGCTCGACTCCTGACACATACTTGGTCAACGTGGCTTCATTCAATGCTCTGGCCCCAGGCCCCAATGTCCACCAAGTTCTTTGATGTGTGCAGTGAGCTGCTCGCAGCTCAAAAATTTGGCACGCGCGAGCTGCAAACCATCGCCTTTCCTGACCCCTGTCCAGGACTTCCCTTGCGATCTTCCATGGCAGGTTGCCCTGAAGATCCCGTAAGCCTTAGAAAGTGGCTGGTGGCCTGGTAGCTGAGTTTTGTGGCCTCTGAACATGTTGGAAGTTAGGTTTGGGGAGCAAGGTTTCTTGCCTTCCAGCTTTTGCATGCAAAAAACAAGACGTACTGCTTTGAAGGTCAAAGAAGCATACTATGAAGCACTTCTCAGAAGCACTCCTTGGATTCAAAGAAGCTCTTCTTGGATATGCTGTATGCGCACGCCAGCGCAGCAAGTAATAGACAGCTTTCCTCATTCCACGGCCATGGCAGCAGGGGCCTGAGCAAGGTTGTTTCCAGAAAAAGATTGCGCTGGACACGCGGTCCCCAAAAGCTGGAGCGCAGACCCTGAGCAAGGCGCATAATCTTTTGAATGGTTCTCTTAAAAAAGACATTTTGCGGATCCTTTTGACAACCTTAAATGGCGGCCTTCATGTACACTTCTTGATTTGTGTGTGTCACCTTTGGTGTACATCACCTACGAGGACATGAGCGCTTTCTTTACTGATTCGGATTCGCACTCCTCCTTCGGGCGCTGAGCTCCGGCTCTGCACTCGACTTTATCTCATGAAATTGAAGCGCTCTTCCATCTTTGGATAGAGCTTTCGCTCCATTCCCCAGTCCTCTTTCCTGGAGTAATGCAACCAGCTTGCTTCAATCCTAGTCAGCTCATTTCGAGCTTTGAGTTCTGTACGCGTGCCAACCTCACTCATGAACTTGTAGTCCTGCTCCGGGATCTCAATCGGCTCAGGACTCCATTCCACTCCTTCTGGCTGAGTTCCAGCCTCGCTCATGTTCTCATCATCAACTTCGTCTGCCTCTGACGTCGGTATGGGTTCCGGTTCAGCTGCTTCCTGCTCTGGGGTCAGGTACTCAACCGGAATGTCCACCCTTCTGCCATCTTCCAATTCCACCGTTGCGGTATCTCCTGATAGTAGGGGCTGTTCTGCTCCTGCCCTGTCATCTGTATCATCTTCTGATGTCATTGGTTCGTCTTCTCCTCTTGTAGCTGCTCTTGGTCGTTCAGGTAGTCCATCTGCACCACGTTCCTTCGCCTGTACCACTACTGCCCATTGTCTTTTCATCCTCAGGCCATCTGCCTTTTGTTTATCTTCTCCATAAATCTCAACTTCTTCCACTCCTCAGGCTTCACTGAATCATCCTGTACAAAGCCGTCCACGTAGATCAGGCCTTGGTGAATCCTCTGGGCATAGTCTGCCTGCATGCTCCATGTAAGCTCCAGCTCGTTGAAGCTGTTGGAGAAATCTGCTCTCTGCACATCCAGCTCGTTCTGTAGCCTTCTTCTCAATGCCCATTCAAAGTGTTTGATCTTGTTCCACATCCATGTAAATCTGGGCGCCGGCCACGCGCACGTTCCCTTGCCGGAGGCCTTCGGTTGGTAACTGAAGGTTACATACGCTCGCCGCCCCTGCCGCCGACCCTTTTGTTGGACCGCGGGGATACCCCGTGTCGACCCCCGCCCGACCTCAGGTTAAATCCGGTCGACAGATTTATATGTATCTTTCCAAAAATGTTCAAAAACATCGTGTTTTACAGTGTTTCGTGGCCTTCGGCGTCCACGACTTTCGCCTAACAGGGCGCCCGTGGCGTCGGTTATGCGTGCCGCGCGGACAGGCTTAATCGACATGTTGGGCACATAAGTTGCTTAACATATCCCCAACATAGGCCCAAGATAGCCAACATATCCCCAACATAGCCTCCAAGATGGCTCAACATAGGGCCAACATAGGCCAACATGGGGCCAACATACGCCAACATAGGCCGAACATAGGCCCAACCTAGGCCAACATAGGCCTAACATAGGCCGACCTAGGCCCAACATAGGCTCAACCTAGACCACATGGGCGCAACTTGGCCCAACCTAGGGCCAAGATGCGCACCAGATAGCTTAACTTTGCTCAATATAAGCCCCACCAAGTCTCAAAGAGAGAGAGAGAGAGAGAGGGAGAGAGAGAGAGAGAACCCAGCCCTGCACATACCCAGACCCAAATAGGCCGGCGCCCGGCTGTCAGGCGTAAGCCTCATAAATCCAGCTGCTACGAGGGCCACCGCCATGAAGATCAGTAGGATCCTCCATCCAAAATAGGGGATCTCCTCCTCAACCACTGGCTCCACTCTCGATCCCGCTGCCAGCTCAAGACCGCCTACCATCATCAGCCTGTTGAGGAACCATCTTCATGATGCGGCCTTTCTCGAAGCGCTGCTCCTGGAAGCTTTCGTGCTGCCTTTCTCCAATCCTCTGTCCGTCCCCTGTCATGGCATTGCACCAATACAGCAATAGGTCTAGCCTTGATCGCGACAGGGGTTTTGTGCCTATGTCAGCCACGTTCAAAGCTGTGTTGACTTGTCGTACTGACATGCTGCCGTCTGCGACTTTGTCCTGACACCATAAGAGTTTTCCAGATAGATGGCGCAGTTTGCCGCTTCCTCTTTTACATGCAATCTGTCGGGTCGCTGAGTTGTCCACCCAACACACATGTTCCACTTCTTCCTGGGTGAGGAACTCAAGGCTGTGTTTCAAGCAAATCCCGTCACAGGCTGCTGCCACCAGTGCGTTGAGCTCACTTTCTGCAGAACTAAGGCTTATCGTCTTCTGTCCATGAGAGCTGCCGCGCACTATCAGCCCGTTGACTGCATGTATTGCTGACGACGTAGATCTCCTTGTAGACTTTTGCACCCTGACCCGTCTGCATCGCTGAAAGTCTCCAGCAACCAACCCTTCTCTCCTCTGGTGTTGATGCCTTCACCTCTGACTGGTTTTGGGAGCAGAATATGTTGATGTTCTGTCTCCTTGAGATAGCCCACCAACTTGCGCATCCTTTGTACTGCCACCTCCGTGGGACTTGACATTTTGCTCGCAAGCTCCTTGATGGTGTAAGCTATATCCAGTCGCTCCTAGGCCAAATAGATACCCATTCCAGTGATGGATCGGAATGCTGTGGCTTCTTGGTGTCCCACCAGATTGGAGCCGTCTGCATCCTGAATGTCTGTTGAAGCTGGGATTGTCTGTTTCTTCACTTGTCCATAGGTCTCCTCAAACAGCGCAATCATCTTGCTGGCATATTGTCCCGGCTTCACCAGCAGGCCTTCCGGGGTTAACTTGTAGGTGCGCTTGAGGAATGAGAACTCCTGATCATCTCCTTCCACTCTTGACACCTCAACTTCAATCTTCGCTTTGAGCTTGTCCACGAACTTCTCCACCGCCTTGGATCGCCCTGTGAACATGATGTCATCTACATGTATCAACACATGGACTCTTTCTCCTCCTTCACCACATCTCCCAAGGCAGGGATTGATCACATCAAAGGTGAACCCGTGGTCCTCCATGAGGTGTTGTTGTACATGCTCAAACCAAGCCTTTGCAGCCTTTGCACCAACCCGCTGGCCTGGCAAGTTTCGTAGTACTTTGTACTTGCCAATGCTTGTGGAGATCTGCAATGGGCGCTCCTGGGGTACCTGCAAGAGGCGTCCTTCGCATCCAGTGCACCTAGTACTGCCCTGCCACTGCTGTTGTCCAACTCTTGATCCATTGACCTCATGGTGAGGAAGATCAATGGAAGCAGGCGTAATGAATAACTCCCACTTGCCGGACTGTACACGTCAGCTCTTTTGTCATTTGCAAACTCCCTTGCCACTAGGCGGGACCTCCTCAGCCATTTCTTCTCCTTAGATCCATCTTCACTGACCTTGGTCTTGACGCGCCAGTCTCTGACAAACTTTGTTGTAAGCTTGTCCAGCAGCATGTCTGCTGTCTCGAGATCTGCAATCACACCCATCCTCTTCAGCCTCTGTTCCTCACTCCACAAGTCATCTGGGATCGCTCCCGGCTTCAAATCCTCCCAGTCTTCTTGCTCATCACCCATAGCCAGGGTCTCTACGTCTACCACCTCATCCAAGTGGTACATTGTGTCTCCCTCAATGCTGACTGCCTCCACTCTTCGTTCAACCATCTCCCTTCTCGATGCTTGATGACGATGTAGCACCTTCCTCCTCGATCCTCTGTTTCTTGGAACTTTCGACTCGGGGCTTCTGCGCTTCAGCGCTTCAGGTTCAATCTTGACCGCCGATGGCGGAGGCGGTGTCTTCCTCGAAGTTCTCTCCTCTTGAGGGCCCTTGTCCTCCTCCCACGGCAGTGGGGGAACCTCCATTAGGACAAATCCTGCTGAGCCTTCTTCTCCAGGCTGCTCCATCGCAAGAACTGGAGTTGCTGGCAGTTCTGAACTCTGCCCATCCAGTTGCGAGGCTCTCGGGGCTGGCACTCCACCTTCAGCAACCAAGCGAAACTGCCTCCTCTCTGCTGCTCCAAGCATCATCTGAACCTCCTGAATCTCACGCTCTGCCTCTTCCTGACCTTCTTTGGACATTGCGTAATCCTCAACTGCTCCTTGTAGAGCGTCGGGTCTGCTGGCAGGCTTCTTCTCCTCATATTCAAAGGGATAGGGCCCACTGCACGCTTCGATGGCACAATACGTCCACCAAAATTCACCTGAAACTCCCAACTGTGCGCAGTGAAATTTGTGAAGTAGGTCATGAACTTGGACCAGGGCCTGTCGATGCGCCTCACCGATCTTGTCAACAGCACATTTTGCCCTTCTCCCACGACCCAAGCATCTTGGCCTTCGGTTTTGCCCAAGAAGATGGCCATTCTCCACTTTGGATTGCCCTTGCCTGTAAGAGGCTTCAAATATGCATAGACTGGACAACCGAATGGAACCAGAGGCGACTCATATGGTTTGCCTTGAGTCAACTCAAAACTTGTGACTCCACGGGTGGCCTGATACCTGTTCAAAGTCCATGCCGCGTGACGCGCAGCCCAACTCCATAGAGCAGGGTTGCTATTGAACCTTAGTCCAACCTTCTTCATCAAAGACTCCATCAGAGTTCCAGCCAGTCCTCTGATGCTGAATCCTTCACCCGGGTCGTGTAGATCCTTGTACGAAGCCCAAGTGCATGACGAGAGTTCAGCAAAATGCGTAGCAGGGCTCGCATTGTTGGCTCGTTGTCAGCATATAACCCAACTTCTGTATGGCCAAGGTTCTGGATGAAGGTCATGGTCTCACGGCACATGAGGCTCAATTGCCCTTTTGACTGCAAGGGAACTGCTCCCAACGATCCTGTCTGGCTGCAGGACAATACCAGCCATAGAGCTGTCTTCACCTCTGCTCCTCCAGGTAGGTCATGGCCTTGTGGCGCTTCTTCCTCTTGCTGCAGATCCACTACCTCTCTTCCATCCTCTTCCATAGTTACTGGCGCTGGTCGATCCATTTCTCCGGCTTTTGTGTAGCAGAAGTCCATACTGACAATCGGAATGCCAGAAAGTCGTGCTGCTCCTGTACGTAAACGCCTGTCCGATCGACCGCGATGCATCAAGCATGTCTCACACCAGGGCTGATATGGGGTGTGTGTCAACTCATGCAAAAATTGCTCTTCCTCTGACGGCACTTTCACCAAGGGCTGTGGTCTTGGTTGCCTTGCCACCTCCATCTGAGCCGCTGCAACTGCTGCTGATGCTGCTTTCATTTCCAGCTCCTTGATGTAGCTCACTAAACTCTGGTAGCGCTTGAGCTTACTACCAGAAGTGCTGATGCCATAGAAGCCGCAAGCTGCTCGAAGCTCTCGCAGTTTCGGTCATCTCAATCCCATTGACCATTAAGCTTCCAGGCATTGCTCCTCCTGCAACCAACCTTCCTTCTTGTTCTACGCCCTCTTCCCTCACGGGCTCATCATGCACACTCCACTGGCTGGACCGCCAGCTCCATTCCACTGTCGACCTCAAATCCCAGCGCATCTGTTGTGTAGCTGTCCTTCGTCAAGATGGTCATCATCAAAGCGTTCTCTCCCTTTTGCCTCCTCAATCAGCTCCTCCTGCTCTGTAAGTAAGTCCATGTAGCGCCTCACAAAGCTCCACCATCTGCCAACGACCTTGCTGCTTGATCAGGGTCGTCCGGAGCCAATTCACCTTCGAATCGATCTCCCCTGGTACTGGGGCGTTTGGAGTTTCCTTCCCACATGGATGCCGATCCATCTGTCTCCAGACCTTGCCCATCCGCTCTGAGCTCTGGCCTTATCCTCCAACTCTTTCGACAACTTTGCCTCCAACACACGGACAATGCACGGTACTGTTTGAATGGCCCGCGCAAATCCTTCGGCAATGAGGCTTCTGTTTTGCAGTTTCAAGGGAATCCTGATCTGGTGAGGTCCTCCTCCATAGGTCAAGACTCGGTCCTACCCATCAATTCCCCAACCTGCCTGCATCATCTTCCCAAAGGAAATAATCGGCTGATTGACGCCCTCGGCAAAGTGAGCTTTCTCATGAATCTCAACCTCTTTGCCCTGCTCCGTCCTGAAGCAGAAGCACACATTCTTGTATCCTTTGACGCGGATGTGTTCTCCTTGGGCATCTTGCGAACGAGGGCTGATTCTGAGAGCTCAGCTCCAATCCCAAGGAACGAGGCAGGAAGAACGGTGGCATCAGCGCCAGAGTCCACGATGACCTGACATAGATCTTGGCCACCTCCAAAGTAGTCATCTCCTTCCGGCTGGACGACACAAATACCCATGCAGCGGAATTTCCTGCTCCTCATCTCCAACCATCTCATCCACGTCCATGTCATAGAACTTGACCATCCTGATGTGCTCCTCTCCCTCGCTGATTGACCTGAGGTCGAACACCATCAACTGGTTGAATTCTTGTGAAACCTCTTGTGAAACCTTTTCGATCCTCTTGATGGATGGGGTCTTGGTCGTTGTAGCCTCTGAAGTATGGGTGGTGCTTGACGTCTCACCCTGGGATGCGCTCGAACTTGCTTCGACCTGTCTCACCACCCGCCAGCAATCCTTTGCTATGTGGCCGGGCTTCCCACACGTAAAACAGGTCTTCATTGGGCTCTCTTTTGTCTTTCCCTTTCCATCAGACTTCTGACCCTTCTGGCCTGTCTTTCCTCCTTCTTGGCCCTTTCCTGGTGCTTTGCCCTTGCCTTTGGTGCCCTTCTGATCGCCTTTCCGGTCCTCCATCTTTCCCTTTGGACTTGCCTTTGCCCTTGCCCTTTTCGGCGATGCGGTCGATCTCCATGGGCGCTGGTCCTCCTGTGTCCTGGTTGAGGATCATTGCATTGGACCATTTCGTGGTTGCGTGGTCGTACTGGATGATCGCTTCTCTCAGCCGGCTGTAACTTTGAGTTTCTGCCACCTGCAACTGGAGCCATGTCTTCAACTGACCTCCAACACAACTCATCAAGGTGGCAAACTTGATGGTCTCATCGAGGCGAGCTCCTGTCTTCTCGTACTCTGCATATAGGCCTCTTCCAGCTTGAGTAGCTGATTCAAAATGCTCCCCTTTCTCATGTCGAATTGTCCCCGCTCCAAAAATCGTCAGTCCAAGGGACCGCTTCTTGCTCGTGGGCCCCAAGCTCTGGATGAGGGCTCTGTAGGCCTCCAGGCCATTTGAATCTTTCACCTGCTTGATCAGGGAGAGAGGCCTGTGGCGGAGGAGAGATGCCAACAAGGCATACAGGAAGCTGCTTCGTTGGCGCTCTTCATCACTTTGGTCCACTGCAATCTCCCTTCCTGGATTGGATCTGAGCTCCATGAGAAGTTTCTCCATTGGGCTATCTCCTCTTCCCGGGACCGCGGATCGAAGTTGGGAGGCTTTGGCAAAATGCGAAACCAGTTTCGATCCTCCCCGCCCCGGCTGCCTCCACAGCCTGGACCATTCGTCGGGTCGGCCCCATCAACCATACCTCCTGCTGCGCTGCCAGTGCGGGACCCTGCTAATGGAGACCCCTCCAAGCCAGCCACAGCTGCTTGATCTCACCCTCCTTGGACTCAGAAGTGATGGACTTCGGGTGGATGTAGGGATCACGGGCAAAGGGACAAACTGGTAGTCGAGGGTGAACTCTGGCAGTGATTGCGAGCTCTGCTGGGTCTCCGCCCAACACTAGCCAGGCACCTATGGCTGCCGCACGTGTGCGCGGCCGGGCCACCAACCAGGGGATTGGGTCTCGTCCCCAAGGATCCTGGAGCCTCAAGCAAGAGCTATGCAATTGCTATCCCTGGCTCCGCTACCATGCGGATCCTTTTGACAACCTTCAATGGCGGCCTTCATGTACACTTCTTGATTTGTGTGTGTCACCTTTGGTGTACATCACCTACAAGGACATGAGTGCTTTCTTTACTGATTCGCACATTTGAAAAACCAAATGAAGCAACTTCTTTGGAGCCTGCAAAAGGCTGCAGGATTGGAGAAAAGGAGAAATGGATGGACAAGGTCATGAACCAAAGGTGCTCCAAGGCAATCTTGCGATTGCCACGTCTCCACCGTACACAAGCAATACTCCACATGTATCCATAGTACACAGCTTAAGCTTCCGGATGAGCTGAGCACTGGGAGGGGGTCGAGGCCTGAAAGTCATACTTCCAATCTGCATTTGCTGTCAGGCTCTCATTCCAAGGTTGATGCGGCGGTATACCATGTGTCTCCAAAAAGGGCTGGAAGGTTGAAGCTCGTTTCCTGCTGGCCTCTGCGATCAAAAATATCTTACGACAAAAAAAAGAAGGCTCCAAGTCAGGCAAAAGACTGCAAAATCAAACAGGCTTGCGGAAAGGTTGAGACAGCTGCCGGACTGGCATCGGAAAACTCAATTGAAGCGCCTTTGGCTCTTCAACGCAAGACTGGTGAAATCTGGATTGAAGGACATCAAAACAGCAGAAATTTGCCTGGAGGGCCTGGAGGGGCTCTGATGACAATGTCCAAGTCGCCTTCAGACTCTGAGGCTGTCCGGCGATCTGACGCTGCGGCGACAGTTTCTTCCTGAGTTGGAACCGCGAGAATGATGCGCTTCTGAGTCTGAGATCTTCTAAGACTTCAAAATCCTACATCCCTCAGCTGTTGCCGCCCGAGGCCAAAACTTGCCAAGTGCCCTCTGCGCCCTCAGCCGCTTTTGGCTCACTCCAACAAGCAAGCCATTCTTGCATTGTGTAAAACTGTCGAACTATGACCTCTGCTTGTTTGGCTTCATGACCATTGGCGCAAGCCCAACCATGTCTATACAGTACAGTATATATACAATTATTTGCACATATGGTGGTTGATCTAAAATCGTTCTTACGCAAATGCAATCCGTCGCGAAAAAATCTTTACTTTCGCGAATCTTTCGCAAACTCCATGTTTGACTTTCACGGGAGATATATCTGAGAAGTCTTCTCACATATACTCAATCTGAAGCGAACGTGAACAAATGCTTCAGCCATTTTCAGCTAAGCTTCTTGAGCAACAACCATTAGATAGGCACTCCGCAAACGTCGCTGCCAAACATCCAACGGAAATGTGCAGCCTGAAGCAGAACTGACGAGCGCCCTTTAAGAGAAAGCATGAAGGAGGGAACCTTGGTCTTGTCGGCTAATCCTTTCATGTCATACATACTCTCTTTCCAAACCATCTGGAACTGCGGATCCTACCCATTTAGCAATGTGTGTCCAACACTGACGCACAATGAGGCCCAGTTGAGGTTCAGAATCAAGCCAGTGCATGAATTGCTGCAGCTACTGCACTTCACAATTCCTGGGTACCAGGTGCCGTGCTGATGGCTTCTTCGGCCATGCCTCAGAAAACCACGGTACATCGAAGTCATGCAATTAGAAATGGATATGTTTGTCCTGTTTTGTAGCATTGTTAGTCAGCTTCAAACAATTTGCCGGAACCCTACTTAGGACTCTGCGGTGTAGCTGATCCAAGTCAGCTTTCATTGCTCTTGTCCTCAGCTTGTCTATGTGGGGTGCAGGAGTTCATGAGATCGGTGTACTTATGCACAATTCTTCAGTAGTACTTTCAGTAGTTTATGCTATTCATTGCTACTCACAAGAAAGGCCTTAAAATGATCACCAATAATGAAATACTACCAGTTGTTTGTCTTTTGGAGCAAGGCTGAGAGCAAATGAGACGTAACATCGTAACATCTTGAAAAACCCGAGCTTCTTCCCTGCCAAGAAGGGCATCGCCACCGGTTCTGCAGGGGTTTGATAATTTCAGATGTACTGAAGGCAGCCCCTAAAGTACATACATACAGTAATTATAAGGACGTTTTGTCAAGAACTCATACAAAGCATACGGATCAACAAACTAGTTCCAGTCAAGACATGCCAGCAGTGTATTATCTGAGGGAATGACACTGCCGTGCGTAACTCTCTGCGCAAACGATCCAAGTTCTCTCGATTTTGTGCCAAGAAGTAAAATCCAGGAACCTCAACAACTCATGTGGGGACTCAATGAAGCAGACTTTGAGGTGCTTAAACCCAGCTAAACCTTCAGCCCCATGTTGGTCTTGAACTCTTCACCACATTTTGCTGAAGTCTTTCACTCTGCTCTCAGGATCGAACCTTGCCCAAACCTCCTGCTTGTGCCCCGACCTTAACACGAGTTTGGGTCCGGGTACTCAACGACCAGTAGACATGATTCCTGAAGCCAGTGTCTTGCCGACAATACAACAACAAACTTGCTGCAAGCAAAAGAGAGACGTATGAATGCACGATATAATACGATATACCAAGTCTCGGACCAACAATGCCCCATGCCACGCAAACTCAATGTCAACGTAACCAAAGGGCCTCATGCACAAACCGCCACTGGCACCTGATTTGAGAATGTGACTTCTCTAAAGTAAACTTCTTGAGGGGAGAGAGATGAGTCCAAATTCGTGTGTACTGCATGGGTACCTGTTGATCTCAAACACCTTAAACACATTTCAAACGTTGTCCAAGCCAATCGCACTAAACTACTCAACACTCGAAGCACAGCGTTCAACTCTACTGGTATAGTACAGTCAACTGCTGAATGCTGAGGTGGCTGCTCATCTCGTGATGGCATCAAACAAAAGTCTGCACCTCCAAACATCTTACAGATGGAACTGTCTGTCTGTTTGTAATTGAGTTGTCTGCAGGTTGCACGGATTGGATCACTTTCTTGACATAAATTCTAACAATATTTGAAACACAATTCCACCAATTGTTCGGTTTTTGATGTTATATAATATTTGGCATCAACTGCTTTCTATACAGATCTTGTTCCACCTGCGTATTCTTTGATGGTCTTTGACGTTCAATACACTTGCCAAACGATTGGGCATCACTGTAGGACTTTGCAGAGTACAAACATCACGAGTGCCCATCGTGTATGAAAGTTTTGAACTCAAAAAGTCTGCCACTTCACCACTGTTAAAAACGCAACACTGTTCACTAGCTGTTCACCTGGGTTCTGCCGTTTGTATGGTTTTTGGATCCCTTTGTCATTGTATGTACGGCGAACCTCATTGATACATATCCTACTTGCCCCACATACCCGGCCAAACCAAGGGGTGCTGAGGTACAGGTACAGATCGTGCCCATGAGCCGCCGCGCAAAAACGCAAGGTTTCGCCATTTGCACGTCATTCCCCGTAGAAAGATGATCACCACCGTGGCTTTGTGTGGCAAACAATTCTCCCCTTGTGGCTTGGGGTGAGCCAGGATACGGGGGCCCGATCGACATGTTGACCAGAGATCAGGACTGCAAACCTCCCAAACAGGAAATGGAACAGACTTTTCGGTGATCAGCAACATTACCACCAAGGCAAGGGGGCAAGAGCTACGGTAGAAGCGTACCACGCATTGCCACGAGCTCTACAATGAATAAATCCGCTGATCCCTGCCGATGGGGGAACGCGCCAAAGAAGTTCTGTTGTAGTGTAGTGGTACGAAGACATTAGGCAAGGTGTGACCTTTTCACTTGGGAACGGATTGCGTATGTGTCGGGAGACATTTGGCTGTGTGGCGATGTGGCCCAGTGAGGGTGGCCAGTGGCCAGTGTCGTGGAATGAAAAACCAGTCGAACTGTGAAGCCGCGAAAATATAAAGTGAATTCGCGACTAGGAGAACCGCTCAGTTCGACCCAAACCGGCAATCCAAGACACCAGAAAACAGTTTTAGGCCCCCAAGCTCGCTTGCAAGCGCAAGATAAGCAGCCAGCGCACTCTTTCCTCACACCCACAAAGTCGCAGCTTGCGTTTCTTGCCCTTTTTCTGTTCCTCGTCCATCAAGACACGGATTCGCTTCTGATCCAACTCCTTCGCAACTTTTAGACACCATTCATGAAGTGGTATGTGGAGAGTACATCTTTGGCGCAAACTGCCATCTTCCGGTAGGCCCGGTAGGCACCCAAGATCTCCACACACAAACTCTCTGAGACAACTTGAAGCATCAGCACGGCATCAGGCGCAAACGCTACATTCAATTGCTCCCCTTCACTCGAGACTGCCGCTTGCTGAGCACGGTCTTTGACCAATAAAAAGTATCCTTGGAATCTTCCCGAATCAATGTCTTCCTCGGCTTCTTGCCTGGTACGACAAGGTGTTTTTTAGACAAATGTGGTGTGTCGGGCACCGGAAAGCAAGTCTCGAGCATTAAGTTGTCTTTTGGACAAGCTGGTGTCTGGTGAGAGAAAGCAGCTCTGTATTTCAAAACTGTTTGTTGGAGAAAGCTACGAATAAAGCTGTCTTTGGCGAGAGCTGGTGTGTGTACGCCTTGGGTTCATCGGTGCTTGGATTGCGCAGGAGAGCGCAGCTCAAAGAAGCTGCTGCAACCATGGGATACCGAGTCTGATCAACTCGGTGTCCCTGCTGCTGTACTTTCACCTCTTATAAAGGTCAATGTTTGTAACTAGAACAATCTCCGCAGCCAATGCATCGGTTTGCGCTCTGCAGTCACGCTTGGTTTGGATTTTGAGACTTTGGAAGCTCTGTGTTGAAGCTTCTCAGCGTAAACCTAAAAAACACTTTCTGGTGAGCAAACTGGTTTGCAGGTTTGCCCCAACCCATGGACGTGCGTCTGCACGCTTGCCGAGACGCCTATCCTTGCCGATGTCAATATTTGACAATCGTGGTACAGAGACCCTCCATGGCCCGGCGCGCGCTTTTTCGCGTAGACATACTCTACGAAGTAGACTGCGACAAGGCACTGACCAGGAAGTTGGTTTGAATCGGCGTCAGAAAGCAACGTTAAAACTGACTGAGCCGCTCTGCGGGAACCTTTTTGGTATGGACATAGACTGGATAACGGTAAAACAAAAACCAACAACAAACAACAAGCAACCAACAACAACAACAACAACAACAAACGCACACACTCATGGATATGCGTACTGATGTGAATGCGGCGCCACACGCCGGCCTAGGGTTCCATTTCCTAAGAGTACCAGTAGGAAACCAGCGAAACCTGGGGGTCTTCAAACGGAGAGATGGCCAAAAGGAAAAGGAAGGAACGGCGATCGCGAGTCGGACAGGTTGACGGCGGCTCGTGCACATCTGCGGAAAGTGAACTGTCTGCAGTTATTGAGGTTCTGGGCTTAGCCTCGTGCCATTCGGAAAAAGGAAAAGCAGGTGCGTCGGTGAGCGTCCCCACCGATATCAGTGTTCAATGCAAGCCTCTTCGTTGGGCTGGTACTTGCATGAATAACCAGCCCCCCTGCTAAAAGCTCAAAACAATCCGAAGGATCCCTATGATTCCAAGGGTTACACACACACGCCTCCCCGAAAAAAGGCAAACTTTTAAGCTCCATGCCGAGGGTGAGGTGAGACTAAGAGAACATGGCGAGAGGAGGAGGATCAGCTGAAAACTAAGGCTCCAACAGGTTCCAATGAACCTCAAAAGTACTTCGGTCGCTCTGACCACGTTGAGGCGTTAAGCCAGCTTGGACCGCTGCGGTCACGTAAAGGCATGAGCCAACTTGGAATTCCAAAGATGAGACAAAATTTGAGTTCTTGTGGCATGAGCCAGCTACTGTCCGCTGCGGACACGTACATCTCCGGGCAGGGGAGATAACGACGTACACCCGTTCGACGGGTCCACGGGAGGCACTCTGCGGGCTCATCCCGGGTTGGCACGAAGCCAAACACACTCATGGATATGCGTACTGATGTGAATGCGGTGCCACACGCCGGCCTAGGGTTCCATTTCCTAAGAGTACCAGTAGGAAACCAGCGAAACCTGGGGGTCTTCAAACGGAGAGATGGCCAAAAGGAAAAGGAAGGAACGGCGATCGCGAGTCGGACAGGTTGACGGCGGCTCGTGCACATCTGCGGAAAGTGAACTGTCTGCAGTTATTGAGGTTCTGGGCTTAGCCTCATGCCGTTCGGAAAAAGGAAAAGCAGGTACGTCGGTGAGCGTCCCCACCGATATCAGTCCCCCTGCTAAAAGCTCAAAACAATCCGAAGGATCCCTATGATTCCAAGGGTTACACACACACACACCAACACACCCACCAACCAACCAACCAACCAACAAACCAACCAACCAACCAACCAACCAACCAACCAACCAACCAACCCTCCAACCAACCAACCGCAACCAACAACAATCACAACCACCACTACCACAACAACAACAGCAACAGCAACAACAACAACAACAAAGCAGCAAACAGCAAACAACAACCAACAACCAGCAGCAACCACCACCACCACAACAAACAGCAAACAACAACCAACAACCAGCAACCGCAACCGCAACAGCAACAACGACAACAACAGCAGCAAGCAACAACCAACAACTAACAGCCAGCAACCGCAACCGCAACCGCAACAACAACAGCAGCAGCAGCAACAACAACACCCGACACAACCCAACATACCCCCAACATGGGCCCAAGACGGGCAAGATTGGACCAACGTGGCCCCAACAGAAAACAACACACCCCAACATGGGGCCGAGACCGCAGCCGCAACAACAGCAACAACTAGTACTACACCAATCACCACTATACCACCCCCAGCAACGCCACGCGCTCTGCGTCTCCCCACCGTCTTCGGGCCTGGTGGCCCGTTGCTGGGTCGGGCGTCAGCCCCTTAAATCCGCCCACACCGATGCGTATAGCTCTGCTAGGGGGGGGGCTTTTTTCGCGCGCGCGTGGCTATCGCTTGGGGAGAGCGTTTTGGAGGTACACTTTTGGGTGATTTTCGTTACGTCGTGCTTGCCAGGGCCACTGGGGAGAGCGTCTTGGAAGAGTTTTTGTGTTTTGGGGTGGTTGCTGCTAATGATGCACTACCCGGCGTCCATTGCATCACTCGCATCACCAGACCCCATTTTCACTGCTTTTCTGACCCTCGCTTTGGAGCGCTCTCCCCACCAAGCTCCGGGTTCACCCCCTCAAACGGTGCCTTTTCGCACCCTCCCCCCCCCACACCCCCTTAACTCACTTCGTTCGCTCTAAGAACTCAAGCCTAGCCTATCGGCTGGCTTTCGTAATGTATATATATATATGTATGGATATTATTCTATATACATATAGAGAGAGAGAGCTGCAGAGATCAAATGTCTAGTACATCTGCAAGCATGTGATGTTGTTCTTCACACCAAGAATTGACAAGATGAAGTCATGACATGATAAAGAACACAATGTTGAAGGCTAGGTCGTGGCGTCTGGGGTTCTTTTCCGGTTTTGCCCTCCGTCTCCCTGAGCGAAGTCCCTTGCCTAACTTCATATCCTTGAGGACATCCTTGTCTCGCCTTGGTTCGAGCTATGCTTCCGTCACGTGCCATCTCAAGTTCCAAAGCTTAGTGGCCGGCATAAACTGGATGTGAACATGCAGGCGGCCAGCGTGCCGTCCATTCTCTTTCATCGCTTCCAGCTTTGTTGCTGCATAGTGCCCGAATCCATCGCCCACAGGACCAACGAGAATTAGCTGAGCATCGGCAAAATTTGATAAAAGCCAATCGGCAACATCAGCTATCAAATCCACTCCTTTCTGCCTCACTAGTCGACCCAGGGAAACAAAAAGGCGAGCATTGGGGTTCACCTCAAGGCCAAGCCTCTGCTGAATCCTCTTCTTTGCATCAGCTTTCACAGATGCCAAATCGCCTTCAAGGTGAACCCGTTCTTCTTCCAACATTGGATTGTCCAGGCCATGTACAACTGGCAACTCCCACAAGACGGAGTAGGCAGAGTGGCATTCAGCAGCATACCAGTGGGAGACTGCGCAAGCGCCAAAACCATTTTGCCGACTGCAAATAAAATCAACTGCAGACTTGAGCATATTGAATCGACCATCCAACAGCAAATGCTCTGCAACGATGTGCTTCGGCAAATTGAAAACGTACGCTAAAGTCTCCAGTCGACGGCCCAGAATCATGTCTGTGCTGATGGTACCCTGGTACTCCGCATTGTGCAAGACGAGCAACACTTTCAAGCTGGGATGCCCATTTATCGCATACCAAGGCGCCACTGCAGAATGAAAGTCAGGACAGTGAAAGACATGAGGTTTGTGCCTCACCAAAAGCGCCCCCACTGCTTGGTTCCAAAGCGAGAAGAATGTCAGGACTGCTTTGCGCGACATCGGATTTGGATAAATGCCTCATCTCAACAGTCGACAAATAGATAGATGAGGATATTCACTCAAAAGACAGGACACGCAGGATCACGCAGACTTCCAACCGACTCAGTTGAACACACCAGCTATTTTGACCAAAACAATTCTAGGCGCACCCTGTTTCTTGCTTAGTCATGTGGCAGCTGCACTACGCAGTAGTGGTCAAAATCTCACACTCTATACACACAAGCGTAGCGAGCTTTTCGGGAATGCGCATGCTCAATGAAACCAGGGTCAAACAAGAAGATATCCGCGGCGCCAACACTTTACTTCTCCGGAAACCCCTTCCCCAACAAACGCCAACTACAATGCAACAAACACCCACGAGGCAAACATGAGCTGGCACCTGGCAAACGCATGTTCCCGTCGCTTAAGCGATCGTTGCCTACTGCATCCTAGTGCAGCCCTGTATTTTGTGTGTATACTGGGATGCCACAACTCAAATGAATTCATCTCAAACTCAAAAACACTTCTCATGCCCCTTGAAAGGCACCTCAAATCCGGCCGATCTCCTGCCAAATATAAGAAAAGGATAGAAAAGGTGAACGGCTTCACCACGGCCAAAGAAGCCAAACGTAACCGAAGCAAAACCGGAGAGCAAGCTAGCGAAAAGGGTCCAAGGGCGGCAAGGGCCTTACATTTGCATTCGGGAAGTGGTGGCCGCAGGCATTTGCAGCAAAAGTGCCAGCACTTTCTTCAAGTGCAAGCGCCCTGTTCCGACTTTCCGAAGGCCCCTCGGAAGTCCAGAAAGGGCACGTGGGGAAAACTCAACAAAAGCTGCTTTACATTTGCGGCCTTGACTGATTGAGAAAGGGAGCAACCTGGATTGTCTGCTTCCTAGCCCCGAGGTTGCTTTGCCAAGGCTTGCAGCGACAAAAGCTGCGCAGGCTGGACTGTCTGGCAGGCTTTCAACCAACGCACTACCAAGTGGTGATCTTGACGTTTGCCAAGGACGGGGTTTTGCTGATAGTGGTTGGCAACAAACTATGTTGCTAAGCTGCAGTATCGGAACGTGTCCTTGGATAAAGTCAGAAGCTGTTCCTATGCAATGACAAAGGCCAGCCGACAAAATACGTTAATACGTTCCTAGGCGTTGCCAACTATGTAGTGTAGGCTAGGCCCAGCCTCTCACATCCACTTTCCGCCTGCGCTGCCACACTTCTCTCACCAACTGAACGCAGACCTGTGAACCTGGAATTTGTCTATAAGAGGTCTGCCAAATTGAATCACTAAGAAAATGACGTGCGTGCCTGCAACTTGTGAGGCAGCGCGATTTGCAAGCTCAGGTATGTAATGGTACTAGTTAGTTAGTTGCATGGTTCGCTGGCATTTCTTAAAGCAAGAGAGCTGGCAGCAACTCGATCTGACTTTCATGGAGGCACGCCAGTTCATCAGCAGGTCCATCCCTTCCCTTGAGGCAAAGCGCCTACTTGAAAGCAACCCGCTCATCTTACATCTTTGACCATTTGCAACTCAAAAAATGATTTGCAAAATGGTTCAGTACAGTTTCCATATCTTACAGCACGAGCCAGGGTAGGTGGAATCGAGCGGATGTGTTGCCAACTTGTTTATTCTTGTCCAAGTGGCTGTCTAGCGTGCGTGCTTTGAAGAGCGGGTGGGCGAGCCTGACAAATCAGCACACACAAAAGAATTGGGTTGGTTGCAGCCTTCTGAAACCTCAAGGAGGATGCAAACAATTCAGTACTCGGGGTGATTTCACGTGATACCCCCAAACCAGAAAATTGCTAATCACCAAGACAAGGAACATCAAGAATTCCACATGTGGCTGCTGGTTGGTATCTTGAGACTTGTACCGGAAGACTTGAACATCATGGCGGACACCTTCAACAACGAGGCGCAAAGGAGGATCTTCATCACAAGCTTTCCCATATTCCACTTGACCTGACACCTCCTCAAGCATCGGATGTACCAGCAGAATGTCCGTAGGATGCTTCCTTGAGATTAGATCCACAACCTTTCCTAATCCCCCAGCAGTTGCACGAGCTTTTGCCAAGTGTGGCAAAGAGTGCTCCAAGGAAGCCAACATTACCGGGAAATGGTCTCCTTCCACGTCGCGCACAGATAGATTGTCCGTAAGGTGCCTGTTGGTATGAACGTTTGAAAGCTCGGATTCCGTGCGTTGAATGCTCTGCTGCGAGGCAGACAAGGACATAGCTTCTTCAACAATTCGCCTTCTTCGGGTCAATATAAAATCCAAGCCCCAATACAAAAGAACGGGCAAAACCCATACAACCGCCAATATGATGGAATAAATTGGCACGGGAGGGCCACTTTGTAGTTTAGGCTCATCAGGCCAGCCATCATCGCTCTTTCCAAGGATTGTCATCAGCAGGCGACAATGTTGAAATGTTGCAACGGTCAATGGGAGCAAAAGGCCAAGTTGACTACACCAAACATTGTCTCTTTTGCTATTTATGCTTTGGTATACTGTAAGCAACACTAGACAAGTATGGGTGTCGATGCCTGCGTACAAATGCATGCAAACAATCGCAAACATGAAAGAGATCTCTGCACATACAGGACTTTGATGATTCCGTGAAACATCACAATGCATCACTGTTGCATGCTTATGTTTGACAAATGTTTGATCATGTCATGTTTGCACCTTAATGTTGAATACCTGCTCCTTCTCTGAGCTTCACAGCTTCAATCCACTGCGAACGTGTTGAGAAACAATGCGCAATCAGTTTTACAACCCTGCATAACCCTTCTATCCTGCCAAACCTCTCGCATCAAGCTTGAAGCAAGGACGATTCGACGAGTTGCTCTATCTTGTAGAAGTTGGGAATTGAAATACTGTGTTGCACCGGACTGTAAGGCTATCAGCCCAATGTGTTTCTGAAATTCTGGAAGTCTCTACTAGTTACTAGTTCAGTGTGATCAGTGCGCCTGGCACACGATTTGGTAGACTAGTCGCTGCAACTTCAAGCTGTGACCCCCCAAAAAAATCAGGCAATGGGCGCAATGGGTATGTCTGGCATGGGCACCATTCCAATGAACATATTTACATCCCGCAATACCGCTATTGTCCTATCGGAGCCGACAAAGATGTCTCTATTCGATTCGGCAAACTCTCTGGTGTTTCCTTCAAACGTCCTTACGAGGAGTTACATTTTGTAGGACATCCTTGACAACTCCACGCTGTACAAGTAGCAGGATCCACTGCGGCTGGAAAGCATTGCAAAGCAATAAAATTGGTTTGGCAACTTGGATCCTCTCATTCTGAAGGCACCGCATTAACCCCAGGGCGGTCGCCTCGAAAAACTGTTTGCAACATATTGTTCTTGTTTTCTGCGGAACCCTACAAGAAGGACAAAGGGTCACTTTGGAACACAACGAGTTGAGACAACGTTGGAACACAAACACGCTACTGGGTCCAGCACTGACAAGAATTCGTAAAACCGTATTGTTGCGGCATCTGTGGCACTGGTGGAGGTGGCCTCAATCCGAGAAAGCGCTGACTCCAAAGAAAACACACACCGACTAGCCGATTCAACTCCGCAATCCAGCCTCCGACCGCAGCCCGTGACTAAACAAAGCCCCAGAAACCCTGCACCATTTTGCGTGTGATTGTGCCTCTTTTGTCTTTAACGTGCTTCGCGTGCAAAGATGTGCAAAGTATTTCATGCATTGCAACCCCACCTATGATGGGCGTTACCAAGAAAAGGCAGAAGTTGGTCCACACGTTCGCGGCGTCATGGGCCAATTCCTTTTTTCTCAGTGATGACATGTCAAAAAGTTTTGTCAGCAAAACATGGCAACATGTGTTGGCCGGCTCCTTGTTGTACCAATCCTCAAAAACCTTGCGCAGTGTGCAGCATCAACACCACAAACCTACAATACAAATCAAATGAACACATTGCCTGGTTTTGCATGCTCTGCGACATTCGCGTGCCTGTGCCTTGCAAATGCCAGGTCCGTGATGGCGCTACTCACTTTAAGCACACATCTGAACTCAACAAGCAAGGAGCCTGAACGCGACAAACATTGTAGAAGGTGTTTCCGCGACTTGGCTTTGTGCACCATGGGCACCTTGAGTGCAGTCAGCTTGAAGAGGAGGCTGCCCAGCCCAACTGCAAAAATGCTGGCCGGGTCAACTCACAGGCCCCGGCCCAAGTAAACAAACAAATATAGCGACAGTTCTTTTGGACCTCAGTGGAGCAGTTGAAGTTTCGTCTTCTCTTTGTGTGACAGCTGTTGTGAACCAATTTTCGCACTCACAAGGTTGCAATATTGATTGATACTGCTTACCACTTCCTAGTTAGCACCTAGCCACAAAACTGGCTGGTAGCATCGACTTGGCTCATCATGGTGACTCTGAGCAGGTTAGCCGTGACACATCGGCGGCTAGGTTGAGTTCATTGAGCAAACGCAGCCTCACTCTAGAAGGGTTCGCTTTAGCCTACAAAAAGCAGAGCTCTGCGCTGTTTTCATGACGGGTCCTTTCTCCCGGGATACAACGTGGCAAGCTGAGCCACGTGTCATGTGACTCATGCAGCGACCTTGCACGTCGGTAGTCAGGTATCTTAGGTGTTACATACTCTGATCTTCGAACAGTTATTGTCTCAAGGCTCCACTCTTATTGAAAGACGATAGCCGTGAATTTGTTCAACTAAAAGCCTCTAAAAAGGGTCAGTAAACGCCAGTAAACGCAACTAGAGGTTGAAACCATTATTTGCACAGGTACCTCTCTCATTTAAGCGTTTAAGCGTTAAATTAGGAGACCAGTCCTCACTTAAGCGATGTCCAAAATCACAGCAAAACGGTCAAACACAGAGAGCCCCTCTGCCCTTGCAGCGCTTCCCCCACCTCTGCGTTCGGCCAAGGGCGCAATCCTACAGCCAGGCGTGAGGGCTTCATAACCTGCCACCAATTTCCTCATAATTCATCGACTTGTACTTCTCAAACACATCAGCTTGCAAAGGTCTTCTACGCTTACTGTGTTCCGCGCTCGGCGGCCGCCGCTCATGACCGCGCCACAACAAACAATTGATCCCGCCCAGAAGGCCGCAGGCTTTGTGGCCATGTCACGCGTATAGCCCGTACGATCACTCTCTGGTCGCACTGCGTCACAGTTCTTGATGACAACTTCCGAGGAAAACCGCGTAAAATTACGAACGACGAACAACAAGTCGCGATATAAGTAGACACGTAGAACTCCCATGGCGACTTTTGGAAGGTCAGGATACCTGCCCTGCCGCGCGGTAGTCTTGTTGCATCTCATCGACTACCGCGAAAATAACCGCGACACCTGCGCATCGAGGAAGGACATCGTCCCGAGCATGGTCGTGGAAATCCTCAGCGAACATCAATTGTCTTCCCACACCAAACATGGCAGGGTTTCCCTGTCCATAGTGGGATATTGGTGGTTTGCCAACAAAACACTCTTCTACGTACTCATCCACTCGCGTAAAATCTTCTTCTTCCCAGCCATCTCCCTGACGATATTCTGGCAGAAGTCACAAGCGCCGTCCAAGAACTCAAGCGTATGTACGCCCAAGGCCCGAAAGCATCCACCCAATCTGCCACTTGGCACCAATGTGGCTAAGAGCATCGAAAGGCACACTCATCCTTCGCTTCGGCGGCTTTCTTCCTGCGCTGTTGCAGCCTTTGTTGCGCTCCATGTTTCCTACACTTTTGCGATTTCATCATCTTCACTTGTAGAGTTTTGTTCCTGCGCTGCTGCTAACAGCTAACATTTTCTCCTTCGGCTGGGCCAGGCCAAGAAGGCTTCTTCGAATACACACCTCCCACCCTATTTTTTGGCGCCGTCGTCAACAAGCTCGATGGCGGACTTGGGCCTCCCGTCCCTTTCTGGGAACGTACCTTTGAATCCATCGCGTGGCCGGCGCGGCATGAGGTTGCGGATTGTCTGTTCTTCGACATCTTTTTTTTTTGCAATACATTTTCACTCTTGGCCCCGACAAGACGATAGCTTAGCAGGGCGAGTACGTCTGCCCAGGTCCAGTTTCGTCTTCTGGGACAACCCAACAGAGGCTGAGAGCCTCTATGGTCGAACTATACAACCCCGAGGCTCTATAGTTCAATTTGGCTTGCTGAGGGATGGGTCAGGGTGGCTGCTCAGCTACCACTAGAAATAGCACAACTTTGGGCAGAGTCAGAAAGCTTGCAGCGGGTCAAGGAACTATCGCCAAAAAAACTTGGTGGCCACAAGCGCGCTTGCTGGGCATGCAGTATACACCAGAAAACTCTTGTAAACTGAATGCAAGGGCTTCACGTACTTGAGCCGGACATATATGGTATCAGTTTTTGTGTATATATTTATTTGTTCTTTAAGATCTTGGCTTCTCTTGTTGCACTGTGTCCACACCAAACACGTTTCCACGAAACCTGGCTGACGAAAGCGTACTGTGTTTCTCTCTCAGAGCTGTTTGTCCGATCGCTTGTGAGACAGCCAGCCCCGCCCACACCACTCCAGAGCTGCCATTAGGCAATAGTGCTGTAGGACACGCAGGGACATGGTCGATGGATGGGTATGGGCCGCTAAGTTTTTGATTCGCCCTAACAAATCTTCATCCAACACGCAACTGCAATGTCGGGGGTTCACAAACATTCCTTGTTCAAAAATCAGATGTTCGAATTGATGCTGCTTTGGCAAAAGCGGCCACAGCAGTTTCTCACACTGAAGCGCGTGAGACGCGAGCCCTTGGATGCCCAAGATGCCCAACAAGATTTTTGGTGAAGCAAGTGAACAACTCAACTGGACACGTCCAAATAAAAACGCAAAACGTACAAAACAAAGATGAGAGTCAGTTGTAGGACCTTCGGAAGATCATGTAGGCATCGGCCAAAGTCCAAGTTGGATGGCTCTTTGATTGCCAATTCGATGGCCAGTATTTCCTGGGGGTGTTGAGGCTCAGCTCAAATTTGAGCATGTGGCAGAGACTCCGTGAAATTGCAGACTATGACTAGGACAAGAACCCATGCTCAGCCATAGTCGTGTACATCACGGTGAGTGCCAAGAATACGTTGAACCGGTGCCTCAAAACGTGTTGAAACCAGAGTGTTACCCATGTACATTTCTTCTACAACATGAAACTGTAAATTTGCCGAAGCGCTTTGAAGCTGGAGTCTCAGCCAGGTGCTCACGCGCAACATCGCACATGAAATAAATCATCATCCGTGCAGCGATAGCTTTGAGGTACTTTTGTGAAACGCTACAATACTGGGTGGTTCCACCGTGGCAAAGCACTTTTGCCGTGAAGAGCTTCGGCGAAGCTCTTGCACCATACGGGATACCTTGGGGGCACGACCAGAAAAATGCGGTTCTCAGAACAACAGGTGAGTCCCACATACATAGATGTCACCTCATTACCATGGATGTTGCAAACATATACATCGATAAGTGCAAAACAATACGAAGATGTTTGTCGTTCCATGAAACCCACTGTCCATCAGGCTAGCCCCGTGACAAGTCACTTATCACTCACACGGTCATGTCCATCCACCAAACAAAACCTTAACCATCCCTATTTGCAGGTTGGGTTTCCACCCCATCAAAAAGATTCAAGGCAACCACAGCTTTCAAACCAATAGATGCTGTACTGGCCTACTCTACTTGCCATGGCATGCCCAGTGGCTGCTTTCACTGCACCATATTTGGTATCGGTGGAGGAGCCCCACAAGTTTGCTGTCTCTGGACGCGTGTGGAGTGGGCTCGCTCAGTTCAAGCAAAGTAGATGTGATGGCGTCCGGACAGATCTGGAGGTCGCAGATGTGCATGAGGTCGGCGTACACACCTATAGTCTTTTCTTTCACGCGTGCGTGTGTGTGTGACAAGAAGAGAAAGCAAAGAAAACATGAACCCCCAAAGCCATTGAAGGGGCAAGTGACGGTAGGGCATGAATCCCGGGATCCGCGTCAACGCGGCATCTCCATGAACGGCCACCCATTCTTCTTTTGTTTTCAGGATCCTGGGAAAGGCATGTGTTTTGATTTACATCAAACTTCTACACCGTACACCGTGCCACAAACCATTTTATCTAACAAGTATCGTTTGCCGGTGCGCTGCGCATAGTCCGTAAGCCGTGTATAGCATGCTTTCTGGCTCATGTGGCAGGAGTGTTCGGACTGCGCTGCAATACTGGCGCATCAACCTTCTGGAGCTGTGCCAGCTTCCTGGGAAGTTCTCCAGAGACTTGGCCGGAATACCAAACTGTTCAGTTGGTTTAAATTGCACATCAGCTGCGCTGCTTTTGAGGAAAACGAAAGACACAGTTTGGCGCCAAAACACGTTTGAAGGATAGTAGTTTATGGAGAAAATCTTGATCACCTTGTAGTCCGTCGAGCACACCTCTGAACCCTGAAGCTAGTTGACTTCCAGCTCTTGCAAACCAGTGTGGCTCGTAATCCTCAGAAAACTCACGGCCCCAGGCATCCGCAGTCGGCCATCGACCTGCGCCTCAGACACGCAGTTGCAAGCAAAACGTGTTCTTCGTGACTTAATTGTGAATGTTTGGAAACTTGTTGAACCATGGCACAGAGTGCGGTGAAAGACCAAACCAATAGGTCTACCAACTTCTCCCGCACTAATTTTGAAGTGTACAGCGTGTTGCGCACAGCCAACCTTAGGCATCGACACTTGTTGCAAAACAAGTTGGGACTCTCAAGATATTTAAACATTCTTTGCCTAAGTGGTTGCCAGGTAACACAATTCGGGACATCATGGAACTCGAGTGTCGAGATGACACTGCAATGAGGGACAGCATCTCGAAGTTCTGCTGACCTCAAAACACAAGTGGATACCATTCCCCTTTGTCTAACCTTTGGTTGTCAAAGACAAAGCACGTTAAATAGCGTCGATACACACAACAAGTTACTAGTTAACAAAGCAAGGGAGCCTAACACATCAGCACCGTCTCCATATAGGCGCAAGGGCACACACTGTTGCAGGTTCACATCTTCATCATCCCAGAACCGTGACAGATTCTCTGCTAAGTCCTTGTTATGTTTCCAGTATGTTTCCAGATCCTCAGACGCACCAATGAATGACCTGAAGATGTTTTGTTCCCGTCACGTTCAACATGAGAACTTGAGACCTCTTGAGTACAGATGCAACTGGGTGGCTTCAGGGGTTCCGGTCAATAGTGAAAAAAAATAGTTCTGAATTGTTGAACTCGTACAAGCTTGCAAACACCTCGTGCGGCAGCAAGATCCCGACGCGGATAGTCTTCAATTTGGAAGCGACAGAAGGGTTCGCTTAGGTGGCTCACTTTTTGGCGCCAAAGTATATGTCTAACCTCTCCAACCACATCCGAGGGGTCGACCCGGTCCACATCAAACCTAGGTTGCACTTTTTCGGGCTCTGTTCCGAGCACATCACTTCGACGTTCATGGCAACAAGTTGTCTGAGATCAGAGCTGGTAGATTGGAGGCAGACATTTTCTCCAAGGCTGTTGATCCATCCACTTGACAAAGGCCCTCTCCAACCCCCATCCACTGGCTGACTCAAAACGGTCAGCCAGGTCCAAGATGACAGGCCTCAGCCAACAACTACCATTTTCGACTAGAACCAAACGCAACCAAGTCTTCTGTAAGAATATAATCGCATCGAAACTACGGAACCAAGTGGTGGGGAGTGTCCAGCAAGCATACCACCGTGTCACTGACATTCCGCATGGAGGCCTCGCTAAATGCGTTAAACACAGCTGTTCCTTTTTAGGTTTCGCATTCCCACCTGACCCGACAGCAGAGAATCAATGAGATTCTCAACTATTTTGGAGATTCCTCTTGAGGATCGCTTTGCTGGCTGCTTTGGTGCCATCTCGGAAGACATGCACCTGCACGCATGCGCTCAAAGAGACTTTGGCGGTCGACGTTCAAGGGTGGGAGGATGGCTGGGTAAGAAAGTTCCACTGCCAACAGTGAGTCTCTTGCACCTGTGTGGGCATGTATGCGTTTCTCGTAACAGAATGTTTCAACCTTTTCTTCCCCCCTTTCAACACACTCAATCACACTCTAGCTTCTCAGAGTGTGAAATGGATCCCACGTGTCACGTAGGCGGCTGACGCTGGCGCTTGCAGCTCAGAACTAAGCATACGTGTTCCAACCAAAAGTGGCAAAATGCCTGAAAAATCCTAGTATCCCAATCGCTCAGCTTCCTGGCAACGCTAGGGAATAAGTTAGTTGCTAGATTGGTGCACATGTCAAGAAAGCATGCAGTACACCTCCTTACACCATCGTTCAAAATCATCATCGCTGCCGACAGAGGATCCCTTGCTTTGGTATTGGTCATCCTTCCTTTTGTCCGCCCCTGCGCAAGGGATGGCTTTGACCCGTGCACATGTCATGATTTTTGCGAAACTGAGGACTAAACTACGACGAAGTGTCTTGACGAGGGATTTCAGCGACTCCATCTTGTCGTCCATATTCTGCAAAACAGCTGAGCAGCTGGACAGAAAGACCTATTTTGTCTACACAATCCAATTCTCGGGTGGTTCTGGACTGATTGAAAGTATAACCTATTGCGTCCACACGCATCTATCATTGCGGAAAACTGGACCAATGAAGCCACCAATGAAACACCATAGGCTGCCACAGCTTCATGTGTGAGCAACTTTACAGAAAAAATCTTTGGAGGCTCATTTGACAGGCTTCCGTGTGGTTGCGCTTACATGCGTTAAAGTTAGCAAGAAAAACAGAACCCTGTTTCAAGACCCTTTTGGCAGATGTTTTTTCTGGGGCAGTCCTGCACATCCGACTTCTCCGATTCATACTCGCGTTGAATCTCATAATTCTTCTTCCCATCAACCATTGCCTGCTCCATCCTGCGGGGCACATGATCGCAAGTATATGTACACGCTACCCACAAAGCAAGTGAGAGGGCCTGCTGGCCATTGAGGCGAGCTTGGTATGGAATGTCTTGCACGTCGCTTTGTTCTCCTGCCCCGACAGTATTGATTTCCTATTCTTCTTGGAAGCGACGCCTCCGCTAGATAGAAACAATGATAAACAATGTAGACATTGGGCAAGCCGGTTCGCAATTCTATTGATCTAAGGAAGCTGGCCTCATTGCCATCAAAGCCCGACAGTTCCTGGCCAACATCCCTGGCTTTGGCAGCCAAGCCGTTCAGCCTGGAGACATGGCAGGCATGAGTTGTGAGGAACTGTGTGGTTTTTGAGGCCCAAACGCACGGATGATTTTATTCACTTCTTTCTTCTCCTCACGCTCGGCTCAAAATTTCAAGTGTGAGACGATCAAATAAGACGCCACCAGACTCTTTTACCAGACTCTTTTTACAAAATGTATGAAGAACATCTCTCCAGTCACACACACACACTCTTGGTACATTTTTGGTTTTGATGTTTGGCAGGTGAGCTTGCCTGCTTTTTCTCTTCTGCTTGTTTCTTTTTCTCTTCCTCCTTCTCCAAGACTTCTGCGGTCTTTTCGGGTTTTGGTTTTCCATTCTTTCTGCCCTTCCCACGGTTCTTGCTCTTCTTCTTGTCTTTCTTGCCTTTGCCCTTCTTGCTGCTCGCAGTACTGCTGCTGTCGTCCCCGTCTGGGCGTTGATCCAAGGGCCGCATTCCGTCCACCTTGGAGGTGAGAGCTGCCTTCTTGGCAGCAACTACTTCAGGATCGGGGGCGTCCGCAGGATCCCCACTGTTCACAGCCACTGCAGCGCTGACTGTCGTCTTCTGCTGGTTTTGTTGCCCACCTGGCACACTTGATTGGTTCTTTACACGAACGCACGATTGGTCCCAATGAGGCCAGAGTTGCTCTTCTCCTCTCTGCACTTGAAGACTTTGTAGATTCTGAATTTCGGGTCGTTCTTGAACTTAGAATCATTAAACCTTCATGAAGCAAAATGGCATTGTTTGAGCCCTGATTTTTTAAAAAGATAGACCGTCAAAAACGGCAACCGTTCTTTGCAAAAAGAACTTGAGCTCTGGACTTGCTTCTGTGGGTGTCGTTTCCCACGCTGGGTAGTCTTGATCGTTTCAATGTAGGCCCTGCAAATGTGGAGGCTGTCAGTGAGTTACTTTTTGCGAAGGCATGCCCATTAAAAAAACACGAAACTGGAATGCCTTCCCGCTTCCGTATTGCCATATTTTTGCTCCAAGTCAAAAAGGGACATCTCTACGTAGATGTCGTCAGTCTTGGTCCTTTGCGACCTGACACAAAGTGGATGTTTTCAATGTGAAAGCGCGAGATTATAGCCAAGGAGCGCTGACACCTCTGCGGTGATCTTGACATCTCGCCTGGCTGCTGGAAGCTGCGAGTTTCAAGGTCGAAGCAATCAGAAACTGGGCCCGTGACATTTCATCAGAGAGCAGGAATTCTTTCAGGAGCTCAAACCTTGAGAGCTTCCCAATCAAAACAATTTGATTCACCTTTATACGTTCAGACCAGTGAATTGAGGGAAACACTTCTTTGTGTGATTGCCTGCTGCTTCGTGAAACTTTCTCATCAACTCAGCCGGTAGGTCTGGCAAAGCTGACGTGTTAAAGGACTAAAAAACGATCGAATATCACATACAATTCACGCCTCCTTTTCCAAACCTTCGGTCCATAGCTGCATAAAGGCAACGGCGTTCCTGGCAGTGAATTTGGGAATCTCGAGCCACATTGATGTATATTTCGCATGGGGACCTTCACGTCAATATCGCCCGGTCCGGAGAGGGCAGCAACCTGTTCTTTTTGTTCTGAAAGTTGTTTCACCTCAGTCAAATGATTTGGCAGCGCAAGCCAAGGATCACGATGGCTTGGTGCCCTGGCCCTTTGAAGCCTGCCGTCTGGCCCTTTGACCGCCAGGCCGGAGATCTTCACGAGGCCGCCCTCACTGGCCTCCAAACGCATCATGGGAAGATTCAAACCCGAAGACACGTATATATACTGCATAAATGTATAGATAGGTTCAAACTCTCTATAAGACTCTGGGCACTGGACTGTCCGATTGAGAGTGTGGGAACGCGCAAGACCTGAAAGCCCATGCACACTGTTCAAAAAATATTCGGGTCACGGTCACATACATGTTTGAGCTTGCCTTCTTTGTCATCCTTCTCATCACTATTCCCATTCTTCTCCTCCTGACGATGTTGTTTGTAGAGGTACTGCCGTGGTGTCCTTACAACAGCCTCACATTCTTCAATTCTTGTTTGCCTCCATGTTCTTCGAGGCCACCTGACCTTACTGCTATGTTTGTTGAGGTACTGTCGTGGTGTTCTTATAACAGCCTCACATTCCTCAATTACGGTTTGCCTCCATCCCTTCACAGTTCGTGCCTTCGCTGGAGTGCTCTTCGCTTCACGAATTGCTTCAGCACTCATGCCTTCAACATCCATAAGGCCTTGTGATGGGACGCCTTCCCGATCATCAACCAGCAATTCCTGGTGTTCCCAATCCTCTAAATCCAGCTCTTCGCCATCCAGATCTTGACCGCCCTCCTCGCCCTCAGCCACATCGATTGGCACTGAGCCGTACATCGCCACCTGCATGGCTTCAGTCTCCATTTGTTTTGACAAGTCCGCCATGTCACCCTCTTGGATCTCGTTGGCCTTCTTGTTCTTCTCTTTCCTTTTTGCTTGCTTCTCTGTGGGTGTCATCACCTCCGCTTCAGGTTCTTCAGCTTGGATACCTCTTGGAACCTTTGCCTTTCGTGGCTGTGCCTCTTCTTTGTCATCATGCGCATCTCCTCTCTTCTTCTTGGGCCCATCATGTAGCCTGTCTCCGCTGACCCCGCCATCATTCTTAGGCTTCTTCATCTTAGGCGGTTCCATCTCCAGATCCGCGTCAGCTTCATCAGCAATTGGTTTCTTCTTCTTCTTTGCCTGAGACTCTTTCCCATTCAAAGCCTCACCATTCTCATCAAGTTCCTCATCCTTCTTTTTCTTCTTTTTCTGCTTGGATTCTTCCGGAACAGCCTCAGCCTCTTCTTGGTCAGGTATCTTTTTTTTCATCCGCTTAGGCACTTCTGCACGTTTGTCCGGGGTTTCTTCATCCGTTGGCTCAGGCTTGCGTTTTTCTCCATCGCAGCTCGGTTGGGAATCTTCAATCGCTTCCACCTCATCCCTCTTGTTTTCAGCAGAATGATGATTCTGCTTGCCAAGCCTTTTGGTGTGGAGCCAACCAGAGCTAGCCACAGGCTCAAATGATGGCATTGCCGTCTCCCTCTCCCCTTGGTGTAGACCTTTCCCTTTCCCCTTCATGCCTTTCAACGTTGAGGCAAGTGCCTGAGCCAATTCCCTTGGAATTGCTTTCCCCAAGCCTTTTGCTTTCTTCACTGCTTGGATCATGCCCTGTGGCGTTGACCAATCACCCAAAGCATCACCACGCTTAGGCGGGGTGTCCACCTTTGTGTCATCAACATCTCCGTCCTTTCCCATATACCTGGCAATCTAAGAAATGACGGATTCCGGGGCATGAAGTTCACGGACCTTTCACGCTACAGAGCATAGCATAGTCGAATTATAGGTATCACTTCACGGAAGTTCACGTTTTCCTATTTTTCAATAAAATGTCAAAACATGTGCCTCATTAAAGGAACAAACACAGTACTCTCCTTGTAAAGGCACGTGGGCCACCTCAAACCTATCGAGAAATCAACAAAGCTAATTATGGGACTTAAGAAGCGAGCGCATAAGGAAGAAAAGAACCATCAGGTAGGAAGGGGTTCCTCGGGGTTGGGGGGGGGGCATGAAATTCGTGAACTTATGCAGGTGGGTTCATGAAATGGATGAAGAACACATGAAATGAGCTCATGAAATTCATGAACCTGTCGCCAGAGCGAGCACGCGCGCGCACACGATTGTCGGGCAGGTTCACGAAATTCGTGATCCTCTCGGGAGGGACGTCATTTTAAACCAACAGGCGGAGTGTGAATTTCGTGCAGTTTCATGATCCTGTGGCGGGCTGCCTTTTTGGTGGGCTGATGAATTTCATGGATTTTCGCACACGCGCGATTCTAGAGGCATAGCGCGTTTATATGGAATGTTCTGAATGCGTCGTGCTAATTATGAATTGACGGGAAATGAATTTCATGACCCTATCAGTGACCTAGGGGAGTTTGTTATCCAAAAGAGTTTCTTTCAGAGCGTGTTGATGATTGTATAGTGAAATGATAATGATCGATATATATATATATATGAATGTTCTAATTCTGTATAGTGCGATGTCTCAAGGGTTGCTTTATAGTATAGCTTCAGTTCTTTTGGCAGAGTCTTGAGAACGATACTTTATGATCCACGTGGGAAGATATCACATATTATAAGCAGGTGTGCTCTTCTGAAGAAAGCTGTGTCAGTTCTGACGCTCTGACCTCGCAGGATCGATCTGATCGAGCCTTATCGATGGAATCAGCCACTCGCAAGAAGCATCCCGGGGAAGGAGTGTCCATGAGACTCACCACTCATGAGAAAAACGGGCACCAATGATTCTTCAATCCACCAAGTGACACTGCTAGGTAACGTATTGGATGACTGGGAGTCGGACGCCCAAACACGACACAAACGGCTTCGGAAACCAAGCGAACTCCAATCATGTTGTTTCTTTGCTTCTAAATAATTCATGTTTCTGCTGTGCAAAAGCTATCACCAAGCAAAGATGAACTCGCACGTTGTGTTTTCACCCTATCATTGCCATGAACACCGGTTGAAAGCATATGTTCCTCGTTAAACTGGCCAACCCATAGCTTCTTTTAGAAGCCCCCGTGTGCCAGTGGAGGTTTGGCACTAAAAGAAAAGCAAACAAGTGGTTGCCATCAATCGAGCAAATGCTCTAGCCCACTGTCAGATCCATCATCTCCATGGTCATAGAACTTCATTCCTTGTTCCGGAGGCACATCACCAGAGCGGGCAGCCCCGGGCACAAAGCATGTTGAACTTATCAACATGAGGGTTGTTTCCACCAAGACGCAAGTACTCTTTCATGATGGACCCCACCTCCAAGAACAATTTTTGTCGAAACTCAAAAAGAGTTTGGATGCTCAGGTGGGTGCATTCAATTGCCATAGACATATACAGTATATCATATGACGGTTCTCGACATAATATGAAATCAAACCCTGCCTTCAACCCCAATCCAATCGGGTAGGCAGCAGATGATTTCAGAGCTGGCCCTCCCTTGATTTTGAGGTGCCCCAATTTGTCACGGTAGCGTTTCACCATTTTGATTCGGAGAGATGAACGCATCCTTCTCAACCTTTCCCTGGCACAGGGGCCATTCCCAACATGACCCTTAAGAACTATTTTCAGCATAGCATGGCAGCACAAGAGTGTGTGGTTTGATTGCGACAAGATGCGACAAGCATGCCTGCGCATTGGGTCCAACTTTGTGCCAAGTTGTTCCATATAAGGGGCTGTAGTGTATATTGTCACCCGTTTCCTCATAGGCATCAGTGCCAAAGAGGGTCACAGACACAAGCTACGTAGGTCAGCTGCAGAGAATACTTACTCTTGTTGCTTCCTGAAGCTACAAACCACCACGCTTAGATTCAGACTCGGTTGGGGCACCGTAAGCACCTAGCGGAACCGAGATCTCCATGGAGTTGTGGCGTCGCAGCATGGCCTGGTCAACCACGAGGCATCGAGAGACTGGGCTTTTTCATGACCCAAAGATGCATATTTTTAATGACGCAAGAACTGGTCCTTCAAAGGTTGATATCTCCAAATCAAACTGCTGCACGGGTTTTCGATGGCATAATGAACCCCTCGCTGAAAAAGATATTCACACCTCACCGCGCGCAAGCGCGCACACGTCCGTAAAGACAAGGTAGAATCTTCATTGGTGGCTAGGTGCTGGTCACTGCAGATCCTCTATATATATATATAGTATAGTTGCCGTCAAGGGTCAAGTACACGACTCGTCGCACAAGCTTGTTGTTGCTGACGACAGCTCGATATCTCTTCCGTCCTTGCTTTTTGTTGAGCCACTGGTCGTGCCAACAATAAAACTGTTCTATAGTAAAACATGTTTCGTGTTTCCAACAGTTTCACCAAGAACGGCAGTTCACAGAATTGAGGGGCACACCTTGAGGTCTAAAGAAGGTTCTTGAAGAGCTGCCACGACTGATCCAAACCCAACTGCTGCATGGCGGAGCAACCCACCAGCAACCGTGAGCTCTGATGGTTCTGACCTGATTCGCGACAAGGACATGGCAAAATATGAAACAGATAGAGAGAGAGAGAGAGAGTGTGCGTGCATGAACAAAGAACAAAGAAAAGGAAAAACATGGAAAAACATAAAGAAGAAGGAAAACAACAAATATAGATATTGATCATCATCAAGAGTAAGAGAGAAAGAGACAGAAAGAGAATGGACCAAAGGTTCAGCCAAACAAGCTTCTACAGAAAATCAAACGCGCTTTTTCATTTAGATTCATTTAGAGATTGTTGTCTCACTACACTGTTTCCGAAACCAGCTGCGCAAAAGAAGAAATGTTGTAGGACTTTTCAACAGCAACACACCACAACACAGTGCCATCATGAACAAAGACACCGCTGCAAAAGTTGAAGAAATCCAATAAATGTGAGGAGATCCAGCTGTGGATGATACAAAACCTCATTGCTACAGCAGCACGACGAAGACCAGGACAAAAGGAATAAAACAACACTTGTTCATCTCACAATCAAAACATGTTGTATGTGTAGAAGTCACTGAACCCAAACACAGACATGAAGCATCTCGCCGGGAGCCACGAAGACCAAATGACAACACCCCCTGTGTCAGTCGGCCGTCACCTGCGCAATCCTCCTGCCAATCGGTCTCGCAACCTTCCAGTACTGGTCCGTAGGTGCCTAACAGAAGTGTCACTATGGCAGCCAAGTGTGAAAACTGCATTGCGTGGCAGGATCGAGTTACACAACACCACCTGACAAATCTGAATCTGAGCAGAGAAAGCGCAGATCACACAAACTACAATGCTTTGAATCACAGCGTTGCAACCTTGCTGGAGCTCTCCACACACATGTTTGCTGCAAAAATGACTAAAATGACAGGCACAGAGAAACTGCACTAGACAAAAGCCAACATTTTGCCATGTGAGCCCAGTAGTGGATTGCGGTTTGGCTGCGAAGTTCCGTACAGCCACCAACAAAGAAAAGCGACAAATATCCCTGGGCCCTGTGCGATTGAACGCTCATCCACTCACCAAAAAACTGTTTGAAGCGTTTGTGGTCAACACCCAAACACAGTGAAAACGTGTGCTTTTCCTCACTAGATAAGTTCCAAACTGCCAGGGTCCAAGGCTAGGTTCTGTCTGTCCCCCAACCCCACTGCTAACCGCTACAATGCATTACAGCAGTCAGCACCAACCGTGTGTCAGTTGGCTTCCCCAAAAAAGGCTATGTACTCGCTGACAAAGAAAGATCGAAATCTACATTTAAAACCTGCGCCTTTTCCGCTCAGCGTCTGAAAGAGCATCGACAATTGCTTGTCGTTCATCGCATGTTTTCCACATTGATAGAGCTGCGTGGTAAGCAACCCCTTCACCCTTCTTACCATCAATGAACTCTTTCATTGCCTTATGCATAGGTCCGTTTGCTGGCCTGCGTTTTTGCTTTTCCACCTTTCCCGTCTCCGTGTCTTTTTTGCCATTCTCCACTTCCCCCTTCTCCAAATTCCCCTTCTTCACCACTGGCTTGGCATCGGCTTTGGCTTCCCCCCCCTTACACGGAGCAGAGGTTTTTGGAGCTGAACCCACTGCATTTGACTTGGTGGCTTGGCAGCTGCATCAAACTTCGCTTCCAGCTTCTTAGCTGCCTGAAGTTGAAGTTTTGAGCATGGTTTCGGAACTCGCGGCGGGGTGTCCTGTTCAACCACAACAGCCTGATCCAGGAGCTTCTGAGGAGGGGTGACCATATCAGCGTCATCATAACAAGCAGCAGACCAAATATCGTGCCAAAGGCTTGTGTTCGAGAGATCTAGCTCGGAGAAGTAGGTTTCCTGCCAGAACACAAGCAATCAAGCACATGCCCTACCCAATCACGGATACAAGGCCTCGTCATGACCCCCAAAGTCATTCGCAGAGTGTTCGGCCTCCACTGGAAATTTGTGGGAATGGTATACCACACAAACGCGATGTCAAGGCTCAACTCTCATTCACTAAAGACACCTACTTCTGGTATTGGTGCCTTGAAGTCCTCAAAGCCGCGTGGCTCTGGAAACAATTTCCAATAGTCCACCTCCGGGCTAAAAAGAAAAAATCGATACACATCCATTCTGCTCAAATTAACGACTCTGGACAATCAACAGGAAATGCAAGAACAACGTGTTGAACGAGTGTCAGTAAGCTTCTTCAGATACAGAAGCGTATACATTATTGGAACAATCAAAGAAGATCTGGGAACTGCCAAATGTGAACGCGGCTTGCCTGACTGTTGCCCTCCACCAGCACCGTTGGCTCAGCGCATGAGTCCTGCCACAAAGACACCACCACTGAAACAATACAGAAGAACAAAGCACTTGGCTGCAAAAACACATCAGTGCAACATACGATAAGCTACCCGCACCACCAGTACTGCATACACTTGTTGTTCTTTCTCAGCAGAGCTCGAAGAGTAGTGAACACGTGGCGGCCAAGACCCTGTTTGGATGTTTTGGATGTTTTTCGCTTCCAAATGTCTTTAATGAAGGTCAGGTATAATTGGCCTGCAGCGCCAGTGGACTTGTTGGTGGCTTCACATCACAGCCCTGCCGCAACACCAATCCAAGGCTGGAAACTCCAGGAATACCTACTACTACTGGTTTGCGCTCTATGGCAAAGCTTTGTATTGAAACCTTCTGTGGTAACAACGCTTCAGAGACCACCGACGCCTCCTCATAAACGTGAGTACCACCAGGTCGCTGGGCCATCTGGGCATGACAGCTATCAGTAAATCAAAATGTTGCCAACTACAATGCCAGATGGCCTGATCGTACATCTCACCCTTCGAAAGATGTCCGGCCTGTCATGGCAGATGGAAAGATCTGAGGACTGCCATTGAATTTCGACATGTCCTGAAAACTATTCAGCAAGTAGTAGACGACAAAGAGATCTTCATGAGCACACCAGTTCATGAAGTCAATCACGTGTGCTTTTTGCTTTTCCTGGACCCCAGTGAAAGAGAAGCAAAAAGAAAACTAAACAGACCCATAGTGAAAGCCACCCCCCATGAACTCGGCCCAGCACTGTTAGTGCCCAATCCTGAAAACAATGATAGAAAGTCTGACGTGAACTGTAATTTACCTTCGACACATGACATGTTTTGATGCCTCGGCGTTCAAAACGCTCACCAACTTCTCCAACTCCTCTTTACTCGGGATGACCTGCGCTCCACATTCCATATGAGCAACCAAAATTTGGGGGCGCTGTTGCAAAGAGCCTTTCCCCTGGCCGGTGGAGGTGGACGTGGACGCTCCTCTTTGCAAGAAACAGTGAAAAGAAACAAAAGGACACACTACTCTAGGCTCCTGCAGATTGTCAACAGCATTCTTTGCCTGGCTAGCAAGCATGTCTGACCCAATAATGTGACTAATCTATGGCCTCGCCTCCGAAACGGGGTTGCCATGTTCGGCGACAAAACCACGGGCAGCCATTCTGCCTTGCTCCAAGGCTATCCTGTCTTCTTCCTGAGGCCAAGAACAAATGACAGAGACAGCGACTGAGACAGCGACAAAATGACAGAGACAGCGACTGAATCACCAGATTCGCTTTCTTCACGAAAGTCCTAAAGTGATCTTGAAACCGCCACATCTTCGATGAAATTTGGAAAACTGCACTGGTACAAACATAGTTGGGTCCTCAGGCCAACAGCACTCCTGAACCAGCGCAAACCACTTACAACTGAGATTTTTCCATGTTCGATGTATTCAACTCTTTGCAAAGCCTCTGCCAGCGTCAGCAGCTCTGCAAATTCATTGCCCAGCATGTCCATCTCAGTCACCAGTTCCTGACATTTTTTCACACGACCCCACTCATGATTTCTACACTCCATCAAATTGCAAATGAATGCATCTACCAGTGAAACACCTTATTCTCGACCATAGTGGGCACACCATCCACAGCCTTGCGGCAAAAGTAAATGAAATGGTAGTGAAACGGCTAAACATAAAACGAGCCACACAGGAAAAATAACAAGCAACTAAAAACTGAAAGAATACAAACTGATATCAGTCTCAGAGAAGAAATATAACAATATGCAGAAAAGAAGAGAAGAGAGAGAGAGAGAGTGAGAGAGAGAGAGGCAGAAAACAAGAAATAACAACAGTTGAACAAACAATGCAAAAGAACAAACAGGAAAACTGAAAAGAGGGAGGGAATATCTATGCATAGGAAGCACACCTCCCATGGCTGCGTGTCCACGTGGTCCATCTTGTCCTGAAGAAACAGGCAATTCCACTGTGAAAGCAATGCAAATGTTTTGCATATATTAGAGCTCCTTCTTGGGTCGTTTTTTGGCCTGCGATACAAACATGACTTCGCCCGCACACATAGGCAAACAAGTCAGATGATTTCAAGGAAAGCCAAGCCTCAAGTTTCTTTGCGGCAGCCAAAAACTTTCTGAGTCTAGCACTTTGAGAACTGATAAAGTCGGACAGGCTAACTCCAGGCGGAGGCTGCAGATGCACTGCGTGCATCAACTTTCGCACAACAGACTCTATCAATTTTGGGGTGAACTTACGCCCTTCAAATCGCCGCTGCCCACACCAAGCGAACATTCTTCTGAGACATTTCTTCTTTAGTGAACCTCTTGGGAAAAGCTGGTGGGACAACTGGATTTGTTCCTCATCAAGCCTTTCCAATAAGACATCACATACAGTGCGTGCCAGTTTGTTTCTGGCTTTTTTTTGGCCAGCAAGCCGCCCTGTACCCCAGGCTGTCTTGGTCGTGACATTGTAGGCGCATACAAGTTGGTTTGCGATATGCGACAACATGGCCACAATATATATATATATATTTTTTTTGCTGAAACAGATTTATATATGAATATGTTCATTTTTGCTGAAACAAATAAACATCCAAAAACAACAAAACCTCTTGCATTTTAGACGTAATATGCCTCGAATGACATCATCGTCGAGCCACACAGCACTTCTCACAGGAGAAACAGTGCACATGTGTGCAAACACATCGGCGCAGGTTTGCGGAGCCTTCTGGAAGATGTGGAAATCGCTTTGGCGTCGGCCCAGCAGTGGAAAATGGCAGCGTTTGCTGCAGAATGCTGATCAGAGCTGCATTTTTTTACCTAGCATGTTTGTTAATCTAACCCTGGACACATGCACAAACCTCGAAACGTAAGAGGTGAACGTGTGTGACCCTATTTGGTGTAAAGCTTTCTTTAAATTAAATGTTCCACATTCTATACATGAACAGATTTATATCTCAGTGCCCACCCAGTGCAGAGCGGAGCGGCAGCGCGGTTTCATGAAAGGCAAAAAAACGAAACATCCCTTCGAAAACGATCGATGGCACCACCTCTGTTTCGTGCGTGCGCATGACCCCACCTGCATCTATGTAGTATAATGACATATCTATTCGTATATATACTTTGTAGATACAAATACTTAAAGTTAAAGGAGAAACTTCCGAGTTACACGACCACAGTGAGTGAAACAGAAGTGCGTGGCTCAAGAAAACAACCTCTCAAGGACGCCAAAGTCACGTATCTGCAGAGCAACTGCGCAAATTGTTGAACAAGGTTCACTAAAACTGCCCACGCGCCAAAGCGGTTGACTCACAAGCCACATCCACGCAAGGTGGGGGGCAGGTGGGGGGCAGAGGTGGCAATAGGGAATGAACTATGGAGCTTTTGAATTTCACGACCTATAGTGCCTCTCAACCTGTGTTGGACCGGCCATGTGAGGCAAGCGTTGCGACGCCGTCTTGCCTTCAGCGTCTTGAGGGCGTCGCTAGCTGCTCTTTGAGGGATATATGGCCTGATATGGCTTCAAAGCCATTCTCTGTTTTCACTGCTTGGTCGACTTAAAGCTCAATTAGCTCCCGAAAAAAAGTGAGTTCACTAACACATCCGCGCGCCAACTCACGTCTTCCGTGTCACCGTGGTCTTGCCTGTTTCCCAGCCAACAAGCTAGCCCGCTGTTGAACCTCAGCTGCGTGAATATGGTCGCGCGCACTCCAACCTCTTGCATTCGCGCAGCGTCATCGTGGTGCGTTTTTTTTCACGAAGCACATTGGGGTCATCCATGAGCCACGGGGCACGCGTGTCTGCAATTCCTGCTATGGCGGAGCTAGCGCGAGCTTCTTGTACGCCTGCCAGAACATTACGTTGTTTTGGAGGGTTCTCTTGTGCCCCGCTTGATTGCTTTTGAGCTGAAACTTACGTATATTGTTGCAATAGTACAAATGCCATTTTGTACAAGCTCGTCCGTTGCGCTAACTTTTGGGCTGATGAGTTTCCATGGCCGCTGCCTGAGGTATGATGACATCTCTGCCTGTCAGCTCCTCCCTCTCCCATCCGCCACATTGCCCAAGGCGCAACCACCAACCTCAGGGTCTCATCGCCTGACAGGTGGGATTTTGGAGCGGAAGATTTTTCTGGTGACTGGTTGTACTCCAATTCGCTTAGTCCAAAAACCTTTTTTGAGCTTCTCAGCTCTGGAAACGGAGGCCCTCACGGCACTCTCAAATCTCCCTGCTTTGGTCCTTTGTCCCAATACTAATGCTGAGGGTGTAGAGGTAACGGTATAAAATAGACCCTTCGTGTCGTGGCAGGCTAGTAGCAGCAAGCCTCTTGAGTGGAAGCCAACTCCTCCTGCAAGCCCACGACCAGCAAATCCACCAGCGCTCCGCTACCATTTGATTCCACAGGGTTTGGCCCAAGTGCCCGCAGTGCACTTCTTAACTCGCGCTCGCCATGCCTAAGTTGAGCCTACGAAGTCTTGTCTTGTCAAGAGAAGAAAGACCTACATAAACGAAGCATGACAAAGTAAAGTCAAAAACAGGGGGCAAGACGTGTTTCTCACTTCCATTAGGCTAGTAGCGGCAAGCCTCTTGAATGGAAGCTGATTCAACTCCTCCTGCAAGCCCTGGCACGCAATTTCACCAGCGCTCCGCTACCATGAGAGAACCTTTTCCACGGGGATTGGGCTTCTTAATTCGCGCCGGCCATGCCTAAGTTGTGCTTGTTGACCGTTCATAAAGATCATAAAGTCTTGTAGAGATAAATAAGACCAACATTCACGGAACATGACGAAATAAAGTCAAACACTGGGGACATGTCGCATTTCTCACTTCCAGCTCAGAGCAGTGCTGCATCGTTTTCTTTCAATGCACATCGCGTCGCTTCATCGGAGTGCACCTCGGCACAACAAATCTTGAAGGACACTCAAGCTGAATGATTTTTGTGGAGTGTTCAACCACTGAAACTGTGCGACTGCGATTCTGATGACCAGACAAACATGCCCATTGCACATTGAAAGGCAAAGCATTGCAAGAGCACGTGGCTGAATGCTACCAAAAGCACCTTCCATAGCTCCACATTTTTCTGGCGGATTTGGGTGAGTCCTTCGTCCAGGGCAGTATCTAAACCTCAATGGAAGGCGCAAGTGAGTTGAGATGGTAATCTGCCTTTGAAACTGAGAGGTTTGTAACGGCTTGCAACTGAGAGTTTGGCTTCTCAGAACACCTCTGTAGGCATCGGTGTCCTCAATCAATTAGGAATGTGTGTGTTGAAGGTGTGGCAGCTAGCTCCACACTGGAGCAAGCCAAACTGCATTTGGACACGCTTGATGTACCCAGCCTGAAGATCCCGGCCTTGAAAGTTAAATCTCGCTAAGATGCAAGCAATCAAGTGGAATCAAGAACCTTGAGCATCCATCTAACCTGTGTCCTCGTTCTCCTTTCCTTGCATGCCATCCTCTACCACTGCATCCCAATGCCCTAACATTGACAAGGGAAGTGATGGGAGAAGGGACGACATTTTAAGACAGCCTGGTCCTAGATTGTCTTCTTCCTCCTCTTTGCTCTACGACTCACATCCTGCTTGTCTCCGTTCTTTGCCGGTATCTACTTCCTTGTGACCCAACGTGTCTGTTTTCATGAACAGAATGAAGAGAGGACACTAACATACACTAACGAGGAGAGACTGGAATTTGGCAATGTGGGCTTCAAAAAAGCCAAACGTCTTGCCGGGCTGAAAATAAACAACAGCAGGGCGGGTTACACCTGTTTAACTGAGTTTACCTCTCCGGTCTGTTCTCCTTCTCTTGCTGCCCTGCGTGGCACTTGTAAACCGCTGAAACCAATGCTGCATTCGCTCTATTCGTCCCACTTTCCTTGCTTCCCAATATCCAAGTTCCCAAGTCTCCAAGCATCCATTCATTTCCCTGTGGCCTTCCTTTGTTGTCTACCCATTTAAAAAATACTTGGTACATCAAACAAGCAGAGTGACAAAGAAGTTAGCTTGGTAGAAGCTTTGCACTTTGAACAATGCTACGCCACTGCCCCCGGAGCTACTTGCGGCAGCTTTGTGACAAGCGAGCCGAAACCACTGCACGAGGCGATGTCGAATCCACGGCACTAAACGAATCGTCATTTACCAGAACTGAGCAGGCGCATGATGATCTGCAAGTGTCACGCAAGTGACTAAAGAGGGTGCAAGGGCGAGGAACAGGCAGGCCAAGATCTGCTGAGCTTTGATATGCTGAAAATGCAACGCAAATTCAAGCTCTGCGATATGATCTACAAGTACCACACAAATATAACTGTATATTCCATCGCGCATAAAGCTCCTGGCCATCCTCATCTAGCTGTTCTCGAATGCTGGCAGCAAGTTGCCTTTCACCACTTTGCAAATGTCCAAATTCAAAGCTGCAGTACATCCGATAGCCAAGCAAATGTGTCTGGCTAAAGCTCAACTGGCTCTTTAACCAAAGCTCATCTTCAATGATCACTCTTGAATGTTCTCTGGTTACTTGTTATATATTTTTTCTATTAGTACCCTAGCCTGTGCTCTGCTTTCAGGTCATCCTCGGAGACCTGCCAAAGAATACAAAAAAAACACGGAAGGAAAGGAAAGGAAAGGAAAGGAAAGGAAAGGAAAGGAAAGGAAAGGAAAGGCAAGGCAAAGCAAGGGAAGGGAAGGGAAGGGAAGGGAAGGGAAGGTAAGGAAGGAAGTTGAAGAAACGCAACAAACATTAAGTTGTTTGAGCACAATCCTGGCAGGAAGGCAGGCATGGCCATGTTATTTTTCCGAGTCTTGTAAGAACTTCGGCATCTTTCCAGCGCCTGCTTTCTCGCGTCAAAGTATCATGGGAGTTGCGGCTTCAGTGTCAACTTTAGATTCTGCAAGCGTACAAAGCCCAGCACCGTTCGAAAATGCGCACTCAAACGTTGGTCATTTGCGGAGTTGAACCTGGAAAAAAGAACAATCACCGGCTTCAGCGCTAAAGGCCAAACCCTAAAATTTCAGCGGCCTTGCCATCTTGTTCTCATACATCTCTGTCTGTACTAGAGATTTGTGCCTGGTGTCTCGATGTGTTTTTGGCGCATTGCCCGGAAAGAGACACTTACCCGGTTCACACATTCATGTTTTGGCTGCCAAACTGAGATCTGCGCGTCTTGTGGTGGTGGAGCAGCTTCATCCTCAAGGCAACTCAGGGTCAACTTTGGGGCTTATGCACTTTATTTCACTTTTTTCTTCAATTGGACATTCAGCAGGTCACAAAAAATACAGTATAATTATAAGTGTTTTTCCCGATCTTTGCGGGCATGGAAAAACAATGAAAAACATTTCGAAAACACACAAAATACGGATCTTGAGTTGTACATTGTTGGACATTTCAAGAAATGCAAATCGCGCACACGCAATAGCTAAAGCCACGCTACGCATCAAATCTTGAATGAGCCACGTCAAGCTTACCAAGTCGTGCCCTCAAACCTCTGAGTAGCCGCGAAAACGCTGGATCGTTTCACACCATCTTACCTTTTGACTTCGCGATGGGCACGCGCACTCAATCCTCTTCAGAGCCCACGTTCGTCTCATTTGGGGAAGCTCAGGCAACAATCAGCGGAGAATCCAACGTATGGATGACTGCAGGAGAAATTTGTCTGTTTGTGGGCTGCTTCACTTGTTCCATGGATTTTCCAGAGAGTTTTGGCAACAGTTTCTGCATGAGTTGCCGTTGACATTTCCATACTCGAACGAACTTTCCACCATGTCCATATTTTAACTTTTTTGTGGTTTTTCTGTATGTGTTTGGATTGCTCGAATCGGCTCAGCAAAAAATTGTTTGGAAGTAGGACCAAGACTGCCTATTGTTCTTCCAATACAGCAAGACACTTCAGCCATTTGTCTGGCTGAACTATAATATTTCATAGGTCGTTGGGTCATAATTCGCTATTTCAAAATGGAAATAAGGATTAGGTCGTTGAAATACCAAAATATTGGGGGAGGTCGGGGTTGGTGCGCGCGATGTGGAAGGACACAACGTGACATATAAAATTCACTACATAAATTGATAATTACATATATATATTTATTATACAAATATATATATATACAGTCTACATACATATTTATGTGTGTAATGTGTATATACACATATATATATATTATATATACATATTTTTTTTGTTAATATCATGTTGTTTTTGGTGCGGTCGCCGACTGTTTCCGACATGCACGCGGTTCTGACAGAACTGACTGGTCAAAAGGATTATACAACAACGGCGAGACTGCAAACACCCCTTTTCTTGCCTCATTGCGCTAACAGAGAGCTAACTGCTTTCTTTTTTGGGGGGGCACGCGACTGCTCCAGAGTCTACACGAGGTGTCACTCTCTTCCGAAATTCTGTCTTGAAAGGGCCTAGCAGCCTATCTGTGTCAGATAGGGTGTTTCTGGGAATTTCTGGGTTTCTATTATTCAATTGTCCGCTTAGTCTAGTCGTCCGATTCTCGCTTCGGCTTCGCGAGGTCCTGGATTCAATTCCTTGTTCAGACTTCAAATCCCGAACAATAGGGGCAGCAATGGTTGTAGCCCAAGCGCCTATCTGCGTCAGATAGGTCGCTTCTGGTTTCCCAGCGGTCGGGCACAAGTGGTAGCAAAACAAGTCTATCTGAGTCAGATAGGTCGTTTCTGGTTTCCCAGCGGTTTGGGCACAAGTGGTAGCAAAACAAGCCTATCTGAGTCAGATAGGTCGTTTCTGGCTTCCCAGCGGTTTGGGCACAAGTGGTAGCAAAACAAGCCTATCTGAGTCAGATAGGTCGTTTCTGGTTTCCTAGCGGTTTGGGCACAAGTGGTAGCAAAACAAGCCTATCTGGGTCAGATAGGTCGTTTCTGGTTTCCCAGCGGTTTGGGCACAAGTGGTGGCAAAACAAACCTATCTGAGTCAGACAGGTCGTTTCTGGTTTCCCAGCGGTTTGGGCATGATCGGTAGCAAAACAAGCCTATCTGAGTCAGATAGGTCGTTTCTGGTTTCCTAGCGGTTTGGGCACAAGTGGTAGCAAAACAAGCCTATTGAGGTGGGAACAGCTCAGCCCTTATTTCAGAAGTTTAGGTCGTAATTCCAAAGTGACGTCGGGTGAAGTCGCTATAGTTCGATCAGATTTTTATATTGTAGTAGCATGCGGTTTGAGGAGTGCTCAGTTCCCCACCATTTGTGGCCAGCCAATTTATCTTCAAACGCTTGCCAGCACCGCGACTGGACGATGGAGTGGAGTTCCTGCCGTGTTCCTCTGAAACAAACACAATCATGAATTGAGGTGCACATTCAGCTCACACCATACCCCGCGTACTAATGCTGTCGCTGTTGCTGCTGCACGAACATTTGCTGAACAAAAAACATGCAAAAACCAAAAGAAAAGACACGCTCTTCTCACTGCCTATCGACTGCCACGCTGTCGCCTTGATCTGCGCCTTTCCTAGAAGCTTGTTTCCGAGCACCTTCAACTCGCGGTCAACGGCCTTACCAAAAACAAACTCGTCCTTACATCAGCTGAGGGGATTGTTCAAGGGGAAACACGGAAAATACCATCATCCCATCCAGGTACTTCAACACCAATCAATGGCCTCTTCTGCCGCTGCCACAGCTGCTTTGAAGTACTGCGCGATTTCTCTTTCGTTTTCCAATTCTCTGGCACCTGATAGATAGATAGATAGACAGATAGATAGATAGATAAATAGATTATAATATAATATAATGCATTAAAGGTGAATAAAAGTCGAATATAATACATGATGATATAATATTATACTTTACTTAAGTGCTCATAGCATGTGTTCCGCAGCGTCCCTTTTGCCGCATTGAGCACTGTTGGAAGGTCAGCTACCATCCTGTTCATGGCATGCTGCCTCATCATCATCCCGCCGGGTGGGAGGTGGGTGACCAAAAAAGGTGCGGGCTTGAACCCTTGGCGACATCGATCACCGTGCTCAAACCTATAAGTCTCATTTCCAAAAAAATCCAACTTAAGTGCTCATAGAAGCAGCACGTGTTCCGCGGCATCCCTTTTGCCGCATTAAGCACTGCTGGAAAGTCAGAAACCATCCGGTTCATGACATGCTGCCTCATCGCCCTCACTCGCTGGAACACGTCACGTGTAGTGGATGTACTGGTCAACGGTCGCCATCTTCTTTGCGAGCCCCGCCAGCACGTCCACCGAGTCACGCAAGTAGCGCTGCACCGCTGAACTCGTCCATCTGCCGGTTCGCTTCACCAGCTCAACCTCACCTGTGGCTTGGTACAGCGCTGGCGCCCCTCCAATCCGCAGAGAATGCGATTGGAAACGATTGCAGGCAGCCCCAGGGCCTTCGCTGCCTTCTGGAGGATGTTCTGCGCCTCTCCAACAGCCTTCTCTTAGATCACCTTCATGACCAGCAGGTTCTGCCTCGCCCTTTCCAGCTCTTCGGCGGTCCTTTCCGTCTTGAACTTTACTAGCGCGGTCTTCTCCGCCGTGCTCTCCCTGCCCTCCAGCTTCATCCTCTTCAGCCCACCCCGCCGTAGCAGTTTCATCTGCGCCGTTGCAGGCTCCACAGCTTCGAATGTGCCCTTCAGCTGCTCACGAGCCCTCGGGCTGCAGAGGGGTTCCCCTTGTCGTTGGGCATCAAGGCATAGAACTTGAGGTCTTCAAGGGTCATGGACTCTCTCCCAGCCAGCTTCTTGATCTTCCGGAGCTCCTCCTTGAGTTCCCCCACGAAGCGCCAATGTAGCTCCTCCCAACCGTCACAAAGGACTTGTAGTGGCCATCTATGCGGCGCACCGAGACGCCATTCGCTCAACAGGTTAACCGCGCGCTCACCTTCTTCCACTCGGCTCCATACTTGAGATCCTTGTTTTGTTATAATGAGTTAACATAATTATGATCACTTATGTTCATTTAGCAACTAGTTACAACTATGTGTTAACTAAGTATAACTAGTTTTTAAATATGTACAACTAGTGTTAATTTTTGACATATGTTAAGTTAGTTAGTAACTTTCTGATGAAGTTATGTAACTAACTTAATTCATGTTAACTCTGTATAATTTTTTGAGCTTGATCTAGCTCATTTTCATTTACCAGAAAATGATGATGTGGTTGTATATTATTTGCATTAAAAAGATATGTGCGGACCTTTTTGTTATGTTGTTTTGGTTGCTGAATTGAGCATACTTATTTCCTGAACTTCTTTTGTTTTTGAGATTTTGAAAATTGATTTTCCTTTTTGGTGGACATGCGAAAGCTTGTCAAAACAGAAATGCCTGTTTTGTGGCGCATTCTGCATGACATGTCACAACCTACAAGAGCCATGTTTTGGCCATATTTGGTTTCAATTTTTTCTGTGGGCATGCATTATACCCGCATTTTTAAGAACCAGAGTTGCCAACTCCAGTGCCAGCAAATTGCAGCCAGCAATGGTGGACATCTCCTACCGCTGCCAAATCACATACCAAGAGGAGAAGCCAGTGAGCATTGCTGCAGACTTGGTTGAGGAGCACCAAGGCCAAAAGTTCCTCAAGATCAGTGCCACCAACTATGCCATTTGCCAACTGGTTTGTGGTGGCAAGCTGCCCACTAAGAACACCAGCTTGGCCAAGAGCAAGGAATTGCAAACATTGGTCCAAGCCAGGAATGACAAGATCCAAGAACTTTTGGCAGCACCAGAAGAAGATACCCAAGAAGGCCAAGAATTGTTTGACTCAGAGATGCCAGCAAACAAAGGCACCAAAAAAGAAAAGCCAAAGCCATGGAAGCAGCAGGTGACAAGTTTGTGGTCACCATCCTATTGGGATCCACTGAGATTCCATGTTTGGTTGGTGGCCAAAAGACCAACCAAGTGGGATTTGTTTGTTGCCATGGAGCCAGAACCTTTGAGAGAAGTCATTTGCCATTTGAAAGCTGGCTGCCAACAAAAAGACAAGTTGCAGCCAAGGATTGCAAAAGCCATTGTTTGGCCTAAAAAGCACAAAGAACAACCGTCACAAAAATCCACACATGGCCATTGTTATAATAATCATCAAAGCAAGAAGAACCATTATCAATCCACAGTTTCCATTGACACCCCCTATAGGCTGATGTTTTTGAATGGTGCTGCTGTTTTCACAAATTAAGGAAATGGCACAGCGAAGAAGAACAGCAATCAACCAAGGTCCACCATCAGTGCATGTGTATGTGAAAAACCAAGTACCAAGCCTTTTTCTGAACCAGCCATGGTGGAGAAAGTGGCTGCCCAAGTGAAAGCCATGATGGATGGCAGTTTGGCCATCAACCAGAAAGTCAGCCAGGTCATTGACCTGTTGGAAGTTCATGCGCCACCTTCAGGTCCTGAAACCATCACAAATTCTATGCCACCCTGACAACAGGGGTGGGACCATGGTGTCCTACCATGATGCTTGGACCAAGGGCATGGCCATGCTGGGTGTTGGAATCCAGATCAGCCTTCTGCAGGGTTCCATAGCGATAGAGATGTCCAAAGATGAAGGCAAGAGAAAGGTACAGGTTTCCAAGAATGAGCAGTTGTTTCATGAAGCCAATGGCCACCTTGCACCTCTCAGTGGCCAGGAACGTTCCTTGTCTATTTCAATGGTCAATATGACACCATTATATTGAAGCTCCCATAAAGACAGCCATACTGCATATACTGATTTCAAATGTGTTGGCAATACAATAAATCTTGTTTGTTGATCACATGGCCCATACACTGCCCAGGCTATTTGTCTTTGAGTTCCAGCCACACTGTGACCTTCTTGAGATCCATGGAACACCATTTTATGGTCACTCCAAAAAAGCCAAGTTGGCCAATCCACTTCCAAATGCCACTATGGCAGATATGTTTTGCAAAAACCATTTTATGGCCACTGTTTCCAAAAGCCAAGTTGGCCAATCTATTTCCCAATGCCACTATGGCATATACATGTTACAAACGCCATTTTTATGGCCCATTGTTCAAAAAGCCATTTTGGTCAACTATGTTTTTGCGCAAGGTTAAAACCATTTTGTCTTGCAGCCATTGGTGAAGTAAGGGAAGGAAGCAAAATCTAATAACTAAAACTGTGGACAGTTTTTGGTGAAGTAAAGGAAGGAATCAAAACCTAATGACTAAAACTGTGGAGAAACATTTTTGGTGAAGTAAGGGAAGGAAGCAAAATCCCCCAACTAAAACTGTGGACAGTTTTTGGTGAAGTAAAGGAAGAAGTCAAA